ATTGCAAACATTCAGTCTTGTGGTAGAAAGGAGGTTATGAGTTAGTCCCCAAGAAAAGATCTTAAACACTGTTTGGAAATGGAGAAATGAAATTCTTTTGATCAAATATAATACTTCATGGCAGGAAAGACTCAATTGTGAGAGCACACTATCACCTGTTCCAAAAGTTAAGACCTGTGCTGATTTGACTGTTCTTTTGTCTTATAAATGCTTCAGATAAAGGCAGAGTTCTATACACAGGTCCACAACACACTGTGAAGAAATAAAGGACATGTCAAGAGCCACATGAATCTATTCAAGTGAATAAATTACAATTGTGCATCATCTTTTCCATAATCCTACATCATACCTCACTTAGAAAACCACCCGCAGGGACTACAGAACACAAGACTGAGAAGAGATGAGAGAAAGGTCCTAGACAGAGAGAGGGAGGGAGAGGGGGAGAAAGGAAAGAGGGAGGGAGATTTGGACTCAAAATGTCTATTTCTATTGCATTAGAATTCAGTTAACTAAGACAATGCATTATTAGATAACTAATTTGTTCTCTGACTGTTGACAGAGATTTCTGTCTCACCCAGTCCCATAGCCATTTGTCCCAAAGAAATACACAGAGGTCTACTATATTAATTGTAAACTGGTTGGTCTATTAGCTCAGGCTTCTTATTAACTAATTCTTACACCTTAAATTGGCCCATTATTCTTGTTTATGTTAGCCATGTGGTTTGGTACCTTTATCAGTGAGGCGTTCTCTTCTTGCTTCCTCTGCATCTGTGTTTCGACTGTAGACTCAGCCTTTCCTTTCCCCAGAATTCTTCTATTCTTGTTGCCCCACCTATACTTCCTACCTGGCTATTATTAATACAAGACCATTGTTCCACAGCATCTGACCAGTAGATTCTTTTATATATAATATTCTCATTGTGAAAAGAATATGAATTTCCACCCTGCCCTCAAGTTCATTTAGCCTCTTTGGCTGAAATGTGGTTCGAGGAGTCCTTGTGAGAAATGCTACAGAAGTCTTGGCTGCAGGAAACGGAGTATTTGCTACTCAAGTTGGGGGGAGGGGAATAGAATTCTTTAAAGGACAATGGAGGAGCAAAGTCTGCAACCACACGGCTCTTCTCAGTTCTCTGCAGCAGCATCTCCATCTTCTAGTTCATTCTCCTGGATTGTAGAGGGCAAAGGAAACCTCATAGCCTCTGTCACTGCTCAGTGCTCTGCCTCAAAGGATCAAGAGGCTATTGACATTCAAACAGAAGACCAATTTCATAATTGTTTGCATTCCAAATCGCACAGTCTAGGCTTTTAAATTCAACCAATTCCTCTTAAAACAGCTCTCAAAGCAGGTTTTTCACATCTCCGATTTGCCTCATAATTAAGTTTGAAAAAGTTTAATATACTCTTTTAATAGAATCATGGAGAGTAAAAATCTGTGGCCAATAGTTAAATACTGTCTTGAACTTTAGGCACATTCTGAATATTGAAGTCAATTATCATCCTTTAAACAAATGCAGGGATGAAAATTCAATTTGTGAAATAAAGTAGTTAAGAGTTTGGGAGCTGAGATTCATAAATCTCAGCATACTTGTCTCCCCCTGTAGAGCAGAGCTGGCCCCTTTGAAAGTTGTCCAGAGACTGTTTCCTGAAAGGCTTTTCTTCTGGATACAGATTGGAAGTGTTTTAGTTGCTGCTGTTTTTATTTGAAAACAGTTTAAGTCATGAAGTTTGGGGCCATACTAAAGATCACCATGAAGAAACTAGTAGTATTAATTTTCTTTTTCCACAAGAAGGCATCTTCCAGGAAGGCTAGGCAGGCTAGACATCTTCCAGGGAGGCTAGGCAAGGCTATGTGTGTTTCATGTCTGAGCTGTGAGTCTATGTGGCAGTTTCATGACTAATTGTTCATCTTTGCAGATGACAATTTCCTACTCAGGAGCAAGGACATCTACTTTTGCAATTCAAGCAGAAAGATTTTTGACTTAATCGCTCGTCTGTGTAAAACTCTTATTCTGCTGGGTCAGTTCACTCTGTCCCAGTGCGGTCTGTATTCACAAGGAGCAAAGCGAACATCAAGTATGGGGCCCAGTGTCAGGAGCTCACGTCAATGGTAAACTGGGTAGGAGACAAAGCTGCCAAGTACAGCATAAAGAACTTTTATGTATTTTAAGAAAGTTGAACAAAAAGCATTTTAGAATATACATGTTTGTAATCTGATTTTGTTTTTTGAAGTGTCTTCTGCTAGAGCAAAACAGCAAAACTATCTGTGGTTACAGGAGAGGAGGTGTCATTCATTTTTGCAAAGGCAGTTGAGCAACTGTCTTACACAGATACACCGTGCACACCTCTCTTGAATGCACAACTGTAGGTATAAACACATTAATGAAACCTGAAAATGAAGTAATGGAAGAGCCAGCTCCTGTTTTCCCAGACCACGTCCCCTGCAGGCTGATATAAGAGGCTCAGTTTAAAACCCTCATGGTCACAGGCCTGGATGGTGAGCACTTTACAGTTTATACTGAGCTTCAGTTGGACCAAGCAATCCTGCAAGTAAATGCCCTTCAACGAGATGAGACATTTTAGTAGGAACCTGTGGAATGGCAATGTTATTCAAAGTATTTCTGAAAAATTTATCGAATTTTAAACTCCAGAGACCAGTATTGAGAACTTAGTTACAGTCTGATTTTGTGGAGATAATTATCTTAGAAACCCTGGCAGTGGATTTTGTACCTTTTGTACAAAACAAAACTACTTTTTATACAAAACACTGGTTTTGATTTGGTTATTTGGTTCAACAAATGTTTTATTAATAACTATTACACAGAACATTTAATTGTGCATTTCCATATTAATTTTGAGGCTTTTTGAAGAGCTGGATCTGAATTCCTAATGCTGCCATTTGCATTGAATACTTTTACATACAGTAAATATTTCTTTAAAGCATTATTTGAGTTATCTCTTTGTATAAACTTAAGTTCAGCTCTCTGGGAGTTTGTTGAATGAAGACTGGTGTGTAGGTAAGTACGCCAAGTAAAAATGAAGTAAATATTTAAGACCTGACTGGCAACTGCCTGTTTAATAGCAGGCTGAGTTCTTAAGATCAGCATCACTCCCAATGTTTGACACCTATGTTCTGTTAAGACAGCCTCGAGACCATTAGTATGTGGGCCATCCCTTTAGTTCTAAGTGAATAACGGCTAACAAAATGGTGAAAAGGGCAATGCAGATGATCATATAATGGATATGTTTGAGTTTTCAATTCATAAGCCATTTATGTGAAACTATATGTATGCACCTGTGTGACAATGATGATGGCTTCCTTTAAGCTGAGGCTAGTTATGTAACATATAGGGATACTTTTATTAAAAGCATGTGTGAGAGTAACCTTTTCATGTCCTACACATGAAGAGTTCCGTTCATAAGCAAACATTGTGGAAGAAATGCATGTTTGGGGTGAAAAACTCCAGACTTGTAGCTATAGTCAAGCAGATCCCAAAATAAATATACATAAAGCAAAGATTTGCAAACATTTTACGCATATTGTCTTCTGGTTAGTTTTTTTTATATAAAAGCTATAGAGCTATAGTATACACTCATCAAATTGTACTGGACATACAACTTCTAAAATTTACAAGTTATCCCTTTTTTTGCTGTAGAGTCTTTTCATCTGAAGCATACAGTGAACCATGGGAGCCCTTCCTGACTCAGATCTGTCTAGGGCCAGGTGTGCACACTTGCCTCCCTCCTTGTCTTCAGCATCTCATGGTGTGCTGTCCCACTCATCATGAGCAACTGATGCTCTGCCAGATGTGACCTATCTGCTCAACTACTACCCCGACCCTACATGATGCTTCTGCTGTTAACCATTTATAGACAACCAGGAATTGCTTAAATAAAGAATTCCAGATCAGTTCTTTGCTGACTTGTACCTATTTTAAGTCAAGGACCTGTCTGTTGCCTTCTGTCTACCCCTTCATCCTCTAGAAATCCAGAAACTACACAAAAACAAAGAAAAACTCACTCGAGAAGCCACATGAGGTGATCTTTTGATGAGGGAGTGTCTTCTATCTGTTGCTTTCATTGGTTAATTAATAAAGAAAACTGCTTAGCCTGATAGGGCAGAATTTAGATAGGCTGAGTAGACCAAACAGAATGCTGGGAAGAAGGGAAGTGAGGCAGACACCATGATTTTTCGACCCAAGATGGATGTAGGCTAGAATCTTTCCCGGTAAGCCACCACCTCATGGTGCTACAATCCTTGACTTATCGTCTGGTCATTGGGATTTATAATGCCGTCTATTTATTATGGACGAATGTGCCACATCACCAGACCAAACTATCCATTTGGCTTAAAGCTGTAGTAAATAATGTGGAACCAGTATTTAGCACATCGCTGAATGGCGGGGTTGAGTATTTCCACTTCTTTCCATGGGCGAATTCTTTTTTTCCTTCTCATTCATGTTTAGGGTAGTTAGGGACTCTACTTTAAAATCTTTTGGACAGATATTTATGGTGACCTGAAGTGATCACCTGTATAATTCATCATAAAGATGAAAGTGTTACATGAACTATCTGAACAAGTGCTTCAGTTTTCGAGATTGTGTGTAGTTTTACTAGAAACAAAGCACTAAGGCCTCGTTAACAGCTATTTTCTAATAGTATCATTTGGGGGCAAGGTTGTTACCTGACCACGGAGAACCAGCCACACAACCTTTTTTGAGATCCGCCTGCCTCTGCCTCCCGAGTGCTGGGATTAAAGGTGTGCGCCACCACCGCCCGGCTTCACACAACCTTTTCTTAAGTGCATATAAATCCTTTGCCTCTACAGATTCCTGAATTTTATTTAGGGTATGATGTCTAATTCACTTCTGTGCACAGCTATGCACATTACAGCTTGACTTTTTACTCAGGAACATTTGTGGTGTCTTCATATAAACAATCTCCTTTACTTTTCCAACAAGTATTGAAGTAAAGGACAAAAATAAAAGGGAAGAAACCATAAATCAAAAGCATTATTTTTATAATTAAATGTGACGACGTGTCAAATTAAGGGACATTTATGTACATCTTGATGGTGACTTTTTCCATTACATGAACAGCTCAAATACTTTTACAAAAAATTAAGTGATAAATTCACTTGAGAATAAATGTAACAATGTGTATGTGCACATACATGTATACACACGGGTGCTAAGTTTACAAATGTGTCAGTTATCTGGTGGCTATTACTGAATTAAGAATAGTAATTATTGAGTCACCCCAGATTTCAATTATATTTGTACATAAATTATACATTTATAAAAACCTTACAGATAATTCTACTATCCAGGAAGACATTGCAGGAACAATTTCACACATGTAGTAAGAAAGCATTTTAAATCTTCAAATCACAAACAAGTCAATAATCTGACAACTACCATGAATCAAGAATTCTATGTATGAAGACTTCTCTATCTTTATGTCTGTCACAGTAACATGTCCTTCAAATTATTTGTCCTAACACAGCTCATACATTAATTGTCTTAATGCAAGGAAAGTAAACATTTCTGAAGTCTTATCTGATAGAAACCACACGTTTTAATCCCTACTTTATGTCAAGAAAATCTCAAAAGGATTGCAAAAATTTATATTTCTGCTCAAATCATGTAAGATGGACAGATTATCTGAGTTGTTGTTTTCAAACAAATAAATGATGAATTACATTTTCCTGACAATTTTATGAACACATTAAATACTTAGTTTATAGCATATTGTGTAGTTTGAGAATCCTGTAAAGAATCCAAATCTTGCCCTCAGGCAATTCACTGAGGTCACTTGCCACAAAAGAGAAAGTGAAATGTATTAACTGGGAACAAATATTTATATAATTTTCAAGAAATATTAATACTTACCTTTGCCATAGTAACAGCCTATCTTTCTTCAGAAATGAAAGGCTAAGAATTTTAGAAGCCGATGACAAGGTTCCAATGACTGGAACAGTCCAAATGAGTCAAGACACTCGTCCTAAGAGCACCCAGCACAGCACAGGAAAACACCTGGCCCCAAACCAAATGCTCCAACACTTATATATAGTAGTATATCTCATTTTTAAAATGTCGACAGCAAAAATAGTCACATTTAAATTTACGTTCTATACAGAAATTCTTTTATTCAAGCAAACAATTTATGTAAGTTACCAAGGGAAACTCAACAGAGGAAATTTCCTCAGGAGATTCACTCAGTCGAATATCTTCATAATAGAGTCTAGAGAAATCATTAGAGACCTCGGGTTTGTTTTTATCAGTAGGGCATCCATGGTTCACGGGTAAAGTTAATGCTTTAGGTGATGTCAATTCAACTTCTCATAAACAGATGTGTATATCAGGAAACTATAATTAGGCATGATTTCTGACAAGATCAGTACCAAAGTCAATGTTGAGAAGCTAAATCTGGGCCTGACAGACCCCGCCCCCTGCTTATATATATAATGCTATATATAGTGCAGGGTTGTGTTCCTCTCTTTCCATCCCAAGTAACTTTTAGCAGGTATTTAATCACAAAAATGAAAACTAGTCAAAACAAAGAATAGCTTACTAGGTTATGATAGTGCTACAAAATAACATGAATCATAGTGGGAGTGAGGTTTTGTTGAGTAAAATTTATGCTGCCATCCTCAACACATGCACACGGGTACATACACAGGAAGTGTGCAAAACTGGAGAGATATTAATAATGCTTCAGCACTCTTGCTTCTCCAGTATTTCTCAAGGCATGTTTCTCAGACTGGGGGAGACATTACCAAGATTTAACACGGGAACCATTATTTTAAGCCAACAGAGGCTTGTGCTTCTCATATCAGAGAAATATAGTTCCCAAAGAAGGAAAAAAAAAAAACCAACCCCAAACTAACCCACAGTTAGTAAAATGTGACAGTGGTCTCCTTATACCAGTAGTCCCCTCACCATGTATGCATGGGCTGCTTGCTCAGCGAGTGTTTCAAGGAACAAGAACCACAGCACGTAAAAGATGAAACTGTGCCAAGAGAGCATTCAGATGTCAAGTAGATGTGATCTGTAATACTGCTTATGATAAACAGCAATAACTAAGCAATGACAATGGAAACAGTTTTCCTTGGGAAACTGAGCAGAGAGGAGAGAGGAGAGGCTGAGAGGGAAGACGCTCAAGCCTGTATCTCATCTCCATGGAGAAGCCAGGCAAGAAGCTAACCGGGTTTAGAGTAGGGTTTAGAGTAGGGAGGGCTGTGCAAAGTTCTGCCTGCTGAGGGGGCAATCCCAGAATATGAAGAAAAGGTATAGGCAGTTTAAAGGCTTACTCACTGTTTAACTGAACGGCCCGTTCAAATGCAAGGGGGTTCAGATACCTTACACTATCCTAAACAGAAATGGAAGAACTTTTCTCTACTTAACTTCTATTGGGACAGCTGTATCTGAGCACTCCCCATGGCTGAGGGGGAACAGAATTGGCTTGTTCATCTTTTGGCAATTGAAAAATCTTAACCTAGCTGTATAATTCCTGTTCACTAGTAGTTGAACCCATACTGGGCCATTTTCAAAGGAATGCTGACTCACCCATCAAATCTGTGGTATTATGAGACAAGTGTACCCCACATCAGATCTGTGGTATTATGAGACAAGTGTACCCCACATCAGATCTGTGGTACTACAAGGCAAGTGTACCCCACATCAGATCTGTGGTACTACGAGACAAGTGTACCCCACATCAGATCTGTGGTATTATGAGACAAGTGTACCCCATATCAGATCTGTGGTACAACAAGTCAAGTGTACCCAAAGCTTTTGCTTACACTGTAAGTAAGTCAGCTGGTTAAGAACCATCCACATCTTAGCATGATGTGTGCCTTCAACTTTAGCCAGTTAGGCAGGACAGAGCAGAGGAACAAGAATTAATGCTTATACCTACTATTTATTCTCACATTTTATGCGTGCATGTCATGTTCAGTGTAGGAAAACATTGCTGATTTCATTACTATGGGGTGAAATGTGGAAAAATAAAGCCCGGCAGGCAGCATGTTCATCAAGACAAATCAAACGTGCTGACAGTGGTGGAATGGATGAAAAAGGGCGAGACTTCTTACCAGAAAATAATAAAGGCTAAATAACTAAAATCTAAACAAAAATCAATATACCGATACTGTTCACCCTTCAGATTACAAAATTATTTGGCTATAAAGATTAAGCATTCTTATATTTTCCTGTTTGTGAATGTAGTTTTGCCTTTAAAATATTTTTTAAGGTTATTCAGGAATTTATAAACTGGAAATATGTATTTTTAATTTGGGTTCAAAGAAAGAAATGATAAGTTGATTGCTACATGTTGAAAACAAACACACAAAACAAAGAACAAACCCATCCTACCCTGCCCCCTTCTGACCAAACAGGTTAAGTGAGACACATGATGTCACTGATATCATTTATATCCCCGAACTATTCTCAAGTAAGGGCAAGCAAACTTAGCTTCAGTGGTTTCTGTTTGTTTGATTTTTGTAATAAGAACAATGCTTTCTTTCTCAGAAGGCACAGGAAATGAAGGGTCAGTGACGAGAGAGAGCAGACAACAAATGCATTGGAACTCTGGCGTGAGAAAGCTGAGGTTACTGGAGACTCGATGCATGTACAATTGTCACAGTTAGTGAAAGCTGCCACTATTCCTGGTGAATCAGGTGACTGCACAGAGTCATCTTCAGGTTGGCTCGGCTGTTTGTGACCGGTCTCTGGAGCCTGCTGTATGTGGTGGCTCTGGGGTGCTGCCGTGGGCTATGTGGTGCTATGGTAATGACTCGCTGCCATCTGATCTGCAGTGTAAATTCATCTGCTTTATCTTCTACGCGTCTCCCAATATCCCTGGCTTGTGCAGCCAACATTTCTAAGTTTCAGAAAGACTGAATCCATCACCTGGAACCGAGAGCTGGCAAATACAGTGTCATTTCACTCATGCAACAACCCCAGGGGGAAGGAGGAGCCGTCTCCTGTCAGACTGGACAGGGGGACAGGGCCTTCTCCCAGCAGGGGCGTGGTCGGCGATCATGAGCGACAGAAAGGGTCTTTCAGAGTATCCGATAAACTCTCCATACTCTTCCTATTAGGATTTTGGTGTATGGCTACAGGATTAACCCTAACCCCAAAGATGTGGACAGTGCCATGTAGCAAGTCACTTTTGTAACGGAGATAACCAAGAACTCTTTCTTTTTCCTTTCCAAACTGTCAGACGCACGGTGGAGATCCAGCCACCTGCAGCCAACAGAAGTTATACACATAATCTGCCTCCTACTGCAAGCCCTCTGAGCCCAGACCAGAGCAGACAGGCGTCTACTCGCAGCCAGAGAGCAGGGAGGCCAGCGGGGCAGGGGCCAGTCTGCTCCAACAAACTACTTAGGCCTCTTCTAAGGCTTCTTTTCTCTCTGGTGCTGAAAGCCTCAATCATGTTAGTGTGTCTGCGTGTGTCTGTCTGCTTTCAAGTCTCTGTGGAAATGTCCACAGGTAATCCAAATAAAAATACAATACTCTCTCACAATGTGTATTATTAAAAAAAATTTACCCTCCAGATCCCTGGGTGAAAAGTGACAAATTCAAACAAGTGGCTTTGCTACCGGTTTTGGGTTTTGTCATGTTAAGAGAGAAAATGTGCTAAGAATCCGAGAACCCATGTCACTTTATTGCTACGGTCTAGGTCATTTGAGTTAGCTCATGGCTTCTGCATAGTCTAAGACAAACGAACCAAGAAGGAACGTAACGTAAAGCAGTTACTGCAGGAACACACTGTGTGAGCCCAGCTGACCCTGTCTGTGTTGGAGTGTTTTCCTTACACACAGGCACTAAACTACTCTGCACAGACACTAACCGAGCTATGTCTGCTGGGCATCAGGATGAAGACACGCTTTTCTCCACTTAATGCGGTCTGGGGCTCACAGGTAACTTGCATCAGACACAAGGGAATGAAAGCTCTCAAATAAGCGATTTTATTCCTATCCATGATTGCAGACATTTACAAAACCATAACATCTGAGTTCACCTTAAAAAATAACTTATATAAAGCAGTGATATACACAGCACAAAATAGTTCAGGGAGGGGCAGGAGCAACCTTTAATAATTAAAATGTAAACGTGAAAAAAAAGGATGGAATAAAAGTCCCTACTCACTTCTACTTAAGATGTCATGTGATAATATCTTACAATGTCCCGTGGGTTGATGCACGTATGCGTGTATGCGCATGGAGCTCTGCATACACGGCGCATTCTTCCCCACACATATACATACACAGATGGTTATTCGCAGTTCAGTTTAGGGCGACTCTAATGTGCCACTCCGCACAGTTGTATGAATCACATTGGGACCCGCTTTCTTCACAAAAGAGGGGAGAGAGCAGGAGCTAGAAGGTTGGTTTGGTTGACTGAGATTCCTTAACTGTACATTGATGAGCAGTTTCTTCCGTGGTAGTTCTGTGAAGGGCTGACTCACGATGGTCTTCATGAGGAGACGTGGTAATGGATCACACACTCATGGTCATGCTGGGGGAGTACTACAAGGACAGAAGGATAAATGACAAGTTTTAGTTTCTATGGACGTTTACGCATGCATTTGTAACCTTGTGAAAATAAGGAACTATAACAATAGGTGTTTATATGGCTTTTCTTAATTGTGAAATTTTAAACTATGTCCTCTACCAAGTCAGATTCTTTCCCAGGACCTAGGTAATCATCCAGTCCCTCAGACACTCCTTCTGGGCAGATGAGGGTTCTGCAGACACTTGTAACAATCTGGGCAACTGGAATCCAAGGATGGACCACACTGAAGAGAGTCTGAGGACCAACCTTTGCTATACACAGCCAAGTGAGTGGGGTGGGGACTTCTCTACACTCTTAATCTGCTCTTCTGACCCTGCTATCAGCTTTTCTGAAGGTACGAAGGAGTGTGGAGAGGATTGAACACATAATCCTTAAATTATAGACTTGATTAGACATACAGGGAGTGCTCAGTACATGAACAGTCTAGGAAACAAAGTAACTGTCAGCTCTGCAGAGTCTCATGGGAACACGAGATGCTCCAGGTGCATTAGCACAGAGCCCTCACCCAGCATCAGTCCACTGCAGGAAATAGCAGGGACCCCAGATGCTCCAGTGTGCATTAGCACAGAGCCCTCGCCCAGCATCAGTCCACTGCAGGAAACAGGGACTCAACTTTACAGTATGGTGAGGCTGACAAGTGACCTAGGGTGAGGTTTTTGGAAATTTCAAACATTACGTGATTTCCGTTTACTTAAATGTGAATCAGCACACGCAGCTGGAGGCTGTCATCATGAGTGCACAGCTCTGGAGCTTCTGAATAGGACAAGCACCTTTCTCAAATGGTAGCGGTCTACATAGGAAAGTTGCTTCTAAAATAAGAATATTTTAATGTTTGATGGGAAAACTGCAAAAACCACTTCAAAGGGGGGATTTCTATCATTGTTCTACTAATGATGGTGTCTCAGGATGAGAGATAAGTAAAGTCCAAAGTTCGGTTCTACACTGCTGAGCCCAATAAGGAACTGACAGAGGGGCACCAAGTTTTACAAAGTTGGCAGAACGGGGAAAAGTGGAGGGAATGCAGGCAAGCTGGGATGGACTGCAGCATGGGCTGAGGTTCAGATGAGCTCGAGGGATAAGAGGTCCCCAGGTAAGCATACGTGTGACAGGAGCTGGATTCTCTGAACCACAAGCCGTTAGGATGCAAACCCCAAATGCATTGCTCTGAGTAAATGTAGAGAATGAGGTAGAGGAGGAGGCTGGGAAAACAGTGGCCGGACCACAAGGCAGGGAGGGGGCACTGTCAATTCTTTAAACATTGCTCACACAAGTAGAATCTATTTGTCGCTGAATAGCCTTGAGTTCCATATTGTTACATGGACGGTAAGTTAGTAAAGTAGTTTAACTGACTCCTATGGTAGATAATAGGGAACATTGGATAATAAAAAGGAAGGAAAAAGGAAATGATTGAATTGTATTATAATCTCAAAGAATAAAAAAATTAAAAATGCATTCTAACTCAGAAAGAGGAAAAAGGCAAGATGAAAAAGTCAGGCTAAAACCAAATCAACACCCGTTTGCCATCATCCTCAAGGAATGCTTGGAGCCACCCTGTGCTGAAATGAAAATACATCCAGTTCCATGGCGATGTGACATAAAAGTCCCATGGCACCAGTAACTGCAGCATGCTGCAATTTATTACCCTCTGCCTGTGACTAAACATAAAAACTATAGCACACACTTATATCCAGAGAGTAGGACAAGCAATAAGAAAAGAGAAAGGTGCATCTCTACAGCAAAATGGGCAAAGAAATTTAACTCATGCTTTCCATGGTCCTTGTAGCACCGTAAGAACTGGGAATGCCTTTAGGTGATGATGGAACATTCTACTCTGTCCTAGCTGGTACAAGTTCCATATATCTGTACATATACATATACATGTACATATACATATACCTGTGGCTTCTAAGTTCTTGAAATGTAGCTATTGAAAATTCAGAAATGAAAACTTCCACGTTTAACTTTAATCAAATATTTAAATTGCATGGCCAGATCACCAGCATTTTTCAAAATAAGGGCTTTGCTGAGAGTTGCTGTATCTGTGATCTAAAGTAGCAGGTAGGTGACCTTGAAGCCAGGATGGCTTCCTGCAGACCTCACAGAAAACTCTTCAGAGAATCTCTGGGACTCCAGAGACCCTCCCATCCAATGTGCAGTCCAGGCAATCTCGGTTAGCTCATTCATATATAACATTAGGGAAGATTATAAGATGCTTCTCATTCTAATGTACATTGCCCTGATGTACACGTGTGCGCACTCTGCTGTCAAGTGTTGGATCCGCTGCTATTGTCCCTCAACACTAGTAGTTGTTACAATGTGGCGGACCAAACGTTTTGAGAAAAATCTTACAGAACAGTAAAATGTTGGTATATCAGGAAGTCAGAAGAAGTTGCTTAGGCCGTAACAGAAACTGAGGGGAAAAAATTAGATGTAAGATGCTGAGGGTCAGGGCCAATCAGAAAGGAACATTAGTTCCTAGAAATAACACTCAGAGTTTACAAGAATCTAATACAGTGTAATTTCTGAGCAGTACACACAACTGCAGAACAATGTGGGATTGTCTCTGCTGCAGAACAACTGGTGTCTGGGTGTTCCTCGGCCATGTGTCACACGCTCCCGGAAGGCTGTAGACGGTCCGTTTCTATTACTAAACTATTTCAAGAAAATGAAACTAAAGGGAATTATAAAATTTTAGGAAAGCTCCCAGAATGCAAGCAAAAGGAGTGTTTCCAGGGCCGCCTTCTTTGGAGTACTGAAGAGGGGCCCTACATTTTCCCAGAAAGGAAGAGCGAGCGCTAAATGGACGGCCGTGCTGAGAGACCCGCGCTCTCCCTGGTGTCTGGTGCTGACTCACATCAGCGTTTCTGCTGCGCTGTTCTCGGTACACAACGAGATACTGTGATGTCTGAGTCACAGTGCTGTGATATCAGGTCGTACTGTCTGGGATGACTAAGCTAGTTTGTTCCCCTCAGACAATACAATGACCCCTTAGCTACTGAGAGCACTCTTGCTTGGCTTAGGGGAAAAAGTAAACTGAAAGCTATTATTTTAAACATACGTCTACCTCGCCTGCTTGTGTATCTTGAGACAGCATGTCCTAGTATGAACTGCAGTTGCTTCCTTCTTACCACCTGACTAATATTCCACTGAATCTATTAGATACAATCATAAATCTGAAGTGCATTTTAGATCACACCACGTTCTAAGTCTTGGTTTCTATAAACATCTTGTTTTCTTAGTGAGAAACAGGGAATAGTTTTGATCCTCTGAATATAATGTTAAATAACTCAATGTTTGTGTCACTACCTAAGCAATTTGGGCTTAGATTTCCCCACAACAGCGAAGCAGATGATGGAGAGGAAGGGCGGAGGTCTGCCCAACAGCCTGTCATTGTTCAATACTGTCGTTCTAGTAACACAAAGACTCATCTGGTTATAGACGAACATCATGTGTAAACGTTTTTCTCCAAATTAATGCAACAAATTAATTCAATTGCATTCATTCTTCTTTTGGGCCACGTTTGTGTCTACACCATCGAAACCAAACATTACAGCATGTGAACACTAGGGGGCAGCTCTGCTTTGCTCATTCTGCTCCACCAAGCATGTTTGTAGTGGACTTAGGCGTTTCTTGTCTTGATCGAATTAAATGCAGTAGCATGAGGGAGAGAGTGGCAAGCACACTAGCACCAAGCAGTTGCTGTCTCTCTGGCCTCTGTGCTGTGACCTCTAGGGAAAAGTGACAAGTCCTCAAAGGGCAGACTGTTCAAATACATGTGCTTTTCAGAGTTACGCGCAGGAAAACCTAGACTTTGAACACTTGTTTACTGGGATCTGTGAACTCACTAAATGGTTCTCCTGAGTTCAGGGCAGTCAGGCGTGGTCAAGGGTCGGCTGAGGAAACCCCGCTCCAGCGACTCTCACCTAAGTGCTCATCCACCCAGAAGGGCTCGCTGTCCTGCTGGACACAGTCCGGCTGGGATTTAAGGGTGAGCAGGTGATTACCATGCCTGCTCCCCTCCAAGGGCTTTCTGACTCTGTGCTCCCTTTCCAAGGGACAAGCACAGCAGCATTGACAAACATGGGAGGGAGATGCCCTGCGTTAATGTCACGTGTGACTTTTTTAAAACCTTTACTTTAAAAACTTAATTAAACAATCCCTTTAACCTTTGAAAAACCCAATTTATATCAACTCCAGCATTTATATAAAACTATTTTAATTTAAAAAGTGATGCAACAATTACTTATATTTATGGAGTATCATGTTGTGATATTCTGATAATATCTTATAGACTGTTCAAATGATGCTAAACAACGTCCTTAAATAAGGTGACTCTCTGAAGTGAAGTCCGCAGAGAAGCAGTAAAGCCTTTCTCCTGGCCCTTGAGGGATATATTATACATTATCACTCTCGCTGGACTCTGCAGCTCATTCCTTCCCTTTAACTGCAACTTAGCTTGGCCTTTCCTGATCCACTGGGCTCTGACTGCCTGTAACCCAGACTCACAAACTACGGCTTACGGCCAAATGTGTGTGGGGAGACTGAGCAACAGTAAAAATCTCTGAACATACAGTAACCGAAAAATGAATGCAAAACCGAACATGCAGTGAGTGTCAAGCGCCTCCTGGCAGTGTTCAGGCACGGTGCACTGCGAGCCTCTCTGAAGGCTTGCTTTTGGACAGTCATGTGCGATTTTCAGAGCATGTGCCCTCACCCTAGCCAGTGAGGGCACATGCTAGCTCCGTGCAGAGCGGGGCTGCTCTATGCTGGACTGGTTTTGCCATACATACAAAGTCTTCTGCTTTGATAGACTTAATAATTTAATTATGGAGAACAAAACCTTTTTATATTTCCTCCAGTTATTCACTAGCATGTAAGTATCTTAAGACAGTCATCACCATGGCAGAATGCCTAATTTTAAAAACTGCTGTTTGAGTTAGTGACCTCAAGTTGCTAAAAGGTAAAAGACTTTTGCTTAATTTTGACAGACTTTCAACAATTTATGAAATGATCCTAAACATCCTTCTGCTACCTTATGCCATATATTTATGTGAAGTACATTCTTAGCATTGATAAGTATAGGATAAAAATATCAATCATCTCCGAAAAATATGATGTTCTATGTCCTATAGTAACAAACATTCAGCCAAAGCTTCTTTATGTAAAAACACATAAGGCAGCACTGAGGAGGTAAAGCCAGGCAGATCTCTGTGAGTTCGAGGCCAGCCTGGTCTACATGAAAGATTCCAGGGCAGCCAGAATTACATTGAGGGGCTTTGTTTCAGTCAAGCAAGAAGAAAGCAAAGAAAGAAAGAATATCCATTTCAACAGATCTTGTGTTTAATAAACTGTAAAAAAAATATGTGCACCAAAGAACTGTTTTAAAATGCATTTATGATTTATTATCAGCAGGTGCTTGATCCGTAAGTAAGTCTGTTTTATACCTACATGCCTAGGGTTGCACAAATATTATGGGTTTCAAGTGGGACATTTAAGAGGACATCATAACCACTTCTGAGGCAGGCTTTTCCTAGGTCAACAGTTGTGTAGATTCCGTGTATGAGTGAGGCCACACGGTGCCTCTTCTGTGCCTCTCTCCTGTGACACTGTCCCAGGAGTTTGATCAAAGTTGTTAAAATAACAACTGTGTATTCTTGAATGGAGTGGTATTCAACTACACGTATGCTCTATTTCTAATCATTCACAGTAGGCTTCATCCCTTCACTGCCAATAGTGTATTATAGCATGTAGGAATGTTAGTCTGACATGTAAACATCTGTTAGTGGAATTGTACTCTTAAGCACAGGTATGTTATACTCCTCACTTAGAAACTTCATTTCTTACTCTAAAACTTTGCATACAGCACAATAAATGATCTGAACTGACTTACCATACACCTCATTAAATTATGCTACTTCTGGAAGAACTTAAAAAATAAATGTCTCCTATTAGATAAAGTGAGCACTGAAAGTGATTGATTTGTCCATATTCCTGAAGTAAATCAGTGACCACGGCTCTAGAAACGAATTCCTGTAATCTCCTAAGTGACTAAAACCACGTGGTGTCCCCTGCTTTCCCGAGCTCGCTCACTGACAGCTAAGCCTTCTCTTACAGTTTTATCTACCCTCTTTGTCCTCACCAGTCACAGAAATAAAGCAAACCAGCAGAAAGCAAATCTTTTATAGTCTAAGCTCAGGGGCACCCTTGTTTCTAGTGGCGGCTAGTGGTCGAGAGCATGGAGCCAAAGAATCCACAGACCGACCACCCCGGGGCTCCATGTGGGGTGCCCATCACTCTGCACTAACAAATACAGATGTCAGCCACGGCCAACAGGTGGTGGTGGCTCTGGCAAAGGCGGAGTCTGGAAGTATGGTAGAAGAACTGCCTCTGCCGTCCAGAGTCTGCCAGGCTCACTTGTGGGGGCATGGGTCATATACTGATAAAGCCCACCCAGGCCCTGCAACAGTTTCCTCTATGATCTGGCAGAGAGCAACCCTTCCCATCACTAACTGGGTCTTTTATCCCTAAACCGCCAGCCTGACTCCCAGAAATCCTGAGTTCAGTGGGTTTTGAGGGGACTCTGAGAAACTAAAAAAAATCCTTGAGTGTTTGTAGAGTTAATTAACAGTTAAGAATCACTGCATTACATAGTAACTCTTTGAGAAAGGCACTCCTTGTCTCTTAGGCTTCCCAGTGTCTAGCATACTGCCTTGGTACACAGAAGTGCTTAGGAACTGCTCGCTAAATAAATAAATGAACTTTACAGCTTCACTTTTTGTCCTGTCCACATATATATTTGAAGAAAACCTTCCTGTCCACATGTATGAAGATGACCTATAGCTCTATAACAGCACTTTAAAATGCCATGGGCTACAAGCTCAGGCTGACAGACCACCAATGTGACCTTCACTGCAGCAAACCCTAGTGTGTGAGGCCAAAATACATGTAGACTATTGTCACAGACTTACTATGCCAAAATCAAGAACAGATCCATTTTGCACCTACTCATTTTGCTAGGAGGTAGGTCACACCAAATAGGCAAGCTGATTTCATTATATTTGTAACATGGATGTTCTCTACAGGAAAATTAGTGTTATGGTTTTGGTAACTGCATATAAATAAACAGGTCTCTTAGAACTCTTTTCATAAAACTGCACTTGAAGAAGCTTCTGCCTTCTAGAAGATCAGCATATCGAACACTTTGTAAACATCAGTAATAACAGATGTAGGCATTTACACTGATAGGGGCGCTTAAGACTTTCAGTGCATAATAACACAGTCAAAGAAATACTTACACTCTCACTCTGAAAAGGATTTAAGAAATTTCCCCCCATTTCACCGTCATCCCTTGGGGTGCCCGGCTGGTTACTCAGGCTCATATTATTGGGAGAATTCTGTAAACGAGATTCAGAAAAGAAGTCATTGTTGAAGATGCTCATTCCCTCCCGCACTGCAATGTCTCAAACACTGAGCGCACAGCGGCTGGCAGTCCTGTGACTCGCCCCGTCCTCGCCCTCTGCCCCAGACAAGTGGCAATGCATTCACAAATGAGAACAAGCGCACCCCAGTAATCTACGATAACTATTTTCTTACTCCAGAATCAATGTTTATTCAATTCCTCATCCTCGGTGTATAGTGTTTCTAGAATGCTATAGTTAAAAACAACCAACCAACCAAACAACCAAACAAATCCCCAGCTTTCCCAGCAGGAGGATGATGAAGACAGCCTACCCGTGGATAAGGCGTGATACAGGCTAACTCCCTTACGAATTTTACTAATCAAACGTTCAAAGATCACTGCTTTAACAGACATCTTCTTTAACTCTGTGTGCAAGTTAGAGATAATACTATTTCAATTATTTTTATGTGAGTCATAAGGAAGAAAGATTGTTACCGAGAGAGGTGCCTTAGGACCAGAAAGCTCACTGTCAGAGGGAGGAGAGAGGGACCAGCATTCCACTAGAGAAACACCCTACTTAGTTTAAATGGACAGTTCCTACGGAAGCTCTCGGAGACAAAGCAGCTGCTATTAGCAATCAGCACGAAGTCGGCTGGGCCTTTGCCCAAGTTCGTTCATCTTATCTTTTCAGTGTACTCTGAACTATTCACAGTATCAGGCAGTTCACACCAATAGGAAACATGGAATGGCATATAAATCATGTTTATAAGGCCATGCAATGGTGATTGAAGGAAGCATTTTAAGCTATAATTTATCAAGTTTAAAAAATTCAAGCTATAATTTATCAAGTTTAAAAAATTCAGGAACAAACTCTTTGTTATTGTAAATGGAGAAAGATACTTAGATTGCTTTCGCCCTAAACCATATGGCTTATATTTCAGTTTTTTTTTTTTTAAAGAAAGTTACTTAGAGGATTTTGATTTAATACAGCAAGCCCCATCGCAAACACTAAGTTTCATGAATGAGCTCCTAAAGGACATGTGCTTTGTGAGACTATGGCTAGCCTGTAAAGCAGAGGCAGGCAGAGGAGCTGCTGTCAACGCAGCTCCCATCTTGTCTCACTGCGCCCCCTGCAGGGATGATCTGAGAGCAAGGATCCTCTGAAGTCCATAGGAGTTCTATATGCCAAGGGCTCAGAACCACACGTGTACCACAGAAAGAGAATTTTAGCATTTCTGGTAAGTTTTTCCTTCAAAATGCTAGCTACCCAAGAATAAAGAAAGGCAACTTCACTTTGAAGTCAGTCTGACAACTTCATTCCCTTTCAAATTTTTATTAAATGCATCATTTCAGATTAATTATTAGAGGTGCTAATTAATAAATTGTGCTTTGCAAACAGGAATGATATTGCCAACTGTGGTGGTCTGAATGAGAATGGCCCCCAGAGGCTCATATATTTGGGTACTTGGTCCCCAGCTGGTAGGACGATTTATAGAGGACAAGGAGGTGGGCATTAAGTCCATGCCAGCTACTGCTCCATGCAATCCTGTCTGCCACCATGCTCCCGCCATGGCACGGCCATGGACATCTTTGGAACAATGGGCCCCAAATTAAATGCTTTCTTTTATAAGTTGCCTTAGCCATGGTAACCACCATAACCATTGAAAAGTAACTAAGACAGATTTAGTTCAGAAAAGTAAAGCAAACTTTGTTCAAGGTTTTTCACTGGATATCTGGTGTGGTTTAGATATGGGCTGTACTTTTCACATATCGTTCTTTATTCTAAAAGTTTATCTAACTTCAAGCCTGATTCCTGAATTAAAGTGCTGGTTTTATTTTAATTTGTATTTTTAATTAATATTTTAGTGCTGGTATTTGAATCTATGTGTTTGTATATGCTAGGCAAATGCTCTACCATTTAGCTATACCTCTAGACCCCAAGGTATTGATTTGATAATACTTATCATTAAAAATAACACTGGCTTTTTTAAAAAACAACACTTCGGTTAATAATTTCTATTTTCATGCAATCTCTTCATGGCATGGGGGCTCAAACTCAAGTTTCTTTAAGGGTGTAGGCTCTACAAGTAAGTTGAAAGGAATTTTATAAAACTACAACAGAAGTCAAAGCAGCATTAGATCTCTGAGACTCATTCCTTCTAGTCACTGGATCATGTTAGAAAAATTTAAAATGATAAGGACAAAACATGTTGCTTCATTTTTCTCTGAAGTATTGTCTGCCAAGGTTGTGAAAATGACACGAGTCATTTAAAGAAACTGAGCTGCACAAAAATCAGTGGAAGGTGAAGACTTAGGCAACAGAGCCCCTGACACCCGAGGCTATCAAGACCGGTGATGAGTGCAGCTGGCAAGAACTGTGGGACACTTCATCTCACTGTGGCATCATCCGTGGGCAGTGTCTGATGTAGGAGGGTCTTCTGCCTATGTGTTACTTTCATTGGTCAAATAAAGAGACTGCCTTGGCCTTTGATAAGACAGCAGCTTAGATAGGCGGAGTAGACAGAACAGAATGCTGGAAGAAGCAGAGTCAGGCAGACATCATGACTCTCCTCTCCGAGATGGACGCTGGTTAGACTGACTCATGCCGGTAAGCCACAGTGAAGTGGCAATACAGATACTAGAAATGGGTTAGATCAATATGTGATAGTTAGCCAATAAGGGACTGGAGATAATGGGCCAGGCAGTGATGGAGGAAGGACATTGGTTAATTATAATAAAGAAACTGCCTTGGCCCATTTTATTGGTTAGAACATAGGTGGGTGGAGTAAAAACAGAAGAGGATCCTGGGAGAAAGAAGCTGAATCAGGGAGTCGCCATGATTCTCCCACTCCAGACAGATGCAGGTTAAGATCTTTCCTGGTAAGCCAGCTTGTGGAGCTACACAGAATATTAGAAATGGGTTAGATCAATATGTACGAGCTAGCTAATAAGAGGCTGGAACTAATGGGCCAAGGCAGTTTCTTTATTATAATTAACCAATGTCCTTCCTCCATCAAGGCAGTGTTTAAATGAATACAATTTGTGTGTTGTCATTTCGGGTGTTAAGCTAGCCGTGTGAGAGCCAGAAAAGCAGGCCTGCTCGCCTCATCACTACAATCCCTCGCTCCTCTCCGGTGGCAGGACGCAGCCTGCTGCTCCTTTTTACAACAGTGTCTCCAGTGAAATCATCACTGAGGCATGATCCCCGTGCAGAAAGGGATTAGTGTCCAAAAGGGCACAATTTTTGAGCACATATTTAGGAAATAGGGAGCATGACAAAGAATCCAGGAAAGGATTATTTTTAATCATGTTGATGACTTTTTTATTTCAGTAGATGAGTGTGCTGCATACTTCTACTATAAGATTTGGCTTTAAAATACAATTCAGATTTTACTGATCTCATATTCAAAAGACTCTTACATTCCCACTTACCCCTTCTCCAGTTGTAAAGAAATGCTCATTAAACGTATAAGAGACATCACACATAGCCAGGCGGTGGTGGTGCACGCCTATAATCCCAGCACTTGGGAGGATCTCTGTGAGTTTGAGGCCAAGATGGTCCACAAAGTGAGTTTCAGGACAGCCAGGACTGCTACATGGAGAACCTTGTCTCGAAAAACCAACAACAACAACCAACCAAACCAAACAAAAAATACCCATCATACACACAATTCCTCTAGCTAAATGTTTACTTCTCTTGAGTTTTGTAGCTTGCGCTTAATTTTTTAGAATGTATTATTATTATGTGCATGTATATGCATGTGTGCTGTGTGCATGTGTGTTGTATGCATGTGGGGGGGCATGTGTGTACCTGTGTCTGTTCACTGTGGTCATGTGGGGGGATAGGTGTGTGTTGTGGGCATGTGTGTGTACTGTGGGCATAATGCTTGTGCTGTGGGCATGTGTGTGTATTGTGGACATGTGTGTGTACTGTGGGCATGTGTGTGTATTGTGGGCATGTGTGTGTAATGTGGGCATGTGTATATACTGTGGGCATGTGTGTGTGTGCTGTTGGCAGGTGCACTGTGGGCATTGTGCTGAGATGTGTGTTACTATGAGTGTGGTGTGTGTGTTCTGGGCATGTGTGTGAGTATTGTGCTTTGGCACGCAAAGGTCAGACCTGAGTTCTGCGAGGTCAAACTCAGGTTTCTGGACTCATAGTGCAAGTGCCTGTATCTGCTGAGCCATTTTGCTGGCCAGTCTTCAATTTTTATCTTTCAAGCAATTTTTTTTCAAATCCTCTCTTAATTAGCAAGTTATTGTTTCTAATACCACAACACAAGATCCAAACTTTTAAAAAATTTTCCAGTTTTGTGTGCTCAGTTACATAGAGCTTTTTAGGGGACAGGGATCCTACATTTGTTGTATTTGGAGTTAGAGCCCAGCACGCTGCCTTGGTCCACTGTTCTTTCTTTTCTTTAGCTTTGGAGTCTGTCCTGGCACTAGCTCTGTAGGCCAGGCTGACCTTGAACTCACAGAGATCCACAGGCCTCTGCCTCCCCAGTGCTGGGATTAAAGGGGTGCGCCACCCCCCCCCCCCCGGCCCATTGTTCTTTACTAATGAAAGTGTCCCTGTGTGAGGAGAAACCACTGGAGGACAGAAAGATGGCATTTGTTTCCAGAGAAGTCTTTTTTTTTCTTTCTCATTGTTCACATCAATACTTAGCACACAAAACAGAGTCAACTAATGCTTAGGGGTGTTAAGCAAGAAAACTAGCAGTTCATTAAGCAAGTTCTAGCATTGGACAACATAAAAGTTAGTATTTAATTCATCATTGTAATTCTATTGAAAAATATTTAAAAAAGGAATTTATAAGTGATAAAGTCTTTGTCCATATAGAATTTTGTTTGTTTGTTTGGCATAAAAGGTTATAGTTTATTAATCCAAGTTTTAGGAAGACGTCCTATAGCAATTAAGACATTCCAAGTTTATGTTCAGAACAATCTCTAGGTACAAGAATGTACTCCTCAATTATGACTGTAACGTTTCACAGCTAACTGAGGAGAGCTCAGGAAAGGGCAGCTGCAACACCGACGGCTGTAATACAATCACACGGGGCCTCTTGCTTTGGAAACAGACATTGTGAATAGCATTTCTCACAGAGGCAACTTAGTGCCTGCTATAAATCAATGTTTTTCCAGAATACATCTCTGACTGTCTCCAAATGCCTTTTCCCAAGTGTCCCTAGACCTTGGATGGCAGGCAGACCCCAGGGAGTGGCAGGGCTGCACTGTGTAATGTCTGCGGGTCAGAAACCTCAGTTTAAACTCGTCTACGGCTCAGGTAATCTCACTTTTTTTGTGGTGGAGGAATTGTATATTTCCACACAAATATAGTTGGAATGAGAAGCACAGTTGTCCGCAGTGACTTTCTCTACTTACTCATCTATAGCAGACTTTGACGGGGTCATTTCAGTGTTAGCTAATTTTAGTTCTCATCTGAAATATGTTTGACTCTCAGAGAACTACTTTACTTTCTTATGACCTAGGAAGTATTTAGATGTTATTTAAAAAATATGTAAAGAATTTTACCAAAATATTAATTTTAGATACTCAAATTATTGAAGGAGGAAAAATGTAGACACATAATTTTTTTCTACATGTATTAATTTCCTTCTGATTACTTTCCTAGCATTTTGAGAACAAGAATAATGACTGCACACGCCAACACCATCTAAGGAAGGCTTGAAAGACCAAGTTAACATACAAATGCCGTGTTCTTATACCATGTGGAACCAACTTCTCAGGTATCTATGGCCACAGTGCTGTAGACACTTTCCAGATGTTACAGCTTTCTGAAAGATCACCCGCACCTCAGCCCAGCTCTCCATGGAGCATCAGAACACGGCTAAGCTGCTTATCATGTTTTCCTTTCCTAAAGATTATACATATTCATATTTTAATCACTGAATGATTATGTCTGAACCTCTACTTTCAAATTTTTGTTGAATAACAATATTCATAAAGCTCACTTAGTAACCTTAGCATTCCACGTGGAATTAAACAGAGAAGCACGCTACTCACCTTGGAAATACTGTCCATATCTCCTGAGCCTGAAGCAAAGGGGAAAAGATAACCTTCATTAGTGAGAAGGCCCTTACAAATGGAGACTCCCGAGGGAGCGAGCGACCACACCAGCACTAACCGCTTCTATTGCCCATCATCTGGATCCTAGCAGGAGCGGAGTCACGGCTGCAGACCCCGTGGAGACCGCTAGAGAGATCGTCTACATGTACAGATCTGTATCTTTTAATGAAAATGATGTTGTAAATCTGATAGTTTAAAATGGAATTTCGAAGATTATCTAACAATATTCTGAACCATATTTCACTACAATATTCAAAAGTATTATTACTAATATTAAAAATAGCATTTAATATACAAAATAGAAACTAAACATATCTTCAAGATATATTAAATTTTAATTTTGACTCTTGAGAGACATAGGAGATGGGATTATATACTAACTAGCAACAATCATAACTGTCACAATGTCAGTTTTATTTTGAATTATTTTATTATCCACAGCTAATCTTAGTGTAAAATATTATAATATTTTAATAGCAGATTTACTGAACAGCAAAAATAAGAGCTTAGCATGACTCTCTTGTGATAAAAAGGTACACATTGTGACACATGGATGAACACACCCTGTACTGTTACATGTGAATATGTAGACTAATGTCCAGTTCAGAAAGCAAGGCGCTAGGTGTCCACCACTGTGACGCTCATCTGGAAGCTGATTCTAGCAGCGCTGTAAACAAAGCCTTCTAACTATGATCAAATTCTCCAACTTGACAGATTGAGAGTGATTTTTTCTTTCAGAAAGGGTTTCTCTGTGTGTAGCTTTGGTTGTCCTGGAACTCAATCTGTAGACCAGGCTGGACTTGAACTCACAGAGATCCACCTGCTGCCTCTCAAATGCTGGAATTAAAGGTTTATGCCATCACTGCCTGGCTGATTGAGAGTATTTTTGCGATACACTGAAAAATCTAATTCTATAGTAGTACTGTCAAATTAAACACTATGTGATGATGTGCACGTTTCTTCGAGATGTCCGTTATGGTAGCTGGTAATGTGTGTGCCTGGTGTACACCTGGTAAGCGGCAGTGTGCCTGAGGACTTGAATGTTACGTTCTCTCTACCTTTAAGTTAATGGCTGTAATAACCAGATACTTCATGACAACCAAAATAAAATGAACCAGAACTTTGAAATGTACAAAAATATGGGTCCTTAAAAGCACAAAAGTCTATCAGTGATTGCAAATAATTTTGGAATCAATTAACACAGACTTTCAGAGAATCAAGGGCCATACTTCTGGCCCTGAGTATGGGGAATGAAATCCTTTAAGCACGACAGTATAAGCAGGGTTTGTCTAATGTGAGTGAAAGGCTACTTCATAAGCCCTGGCACCACTGTCAGCCTTTGGACTATCTCGTGCCCACAAGCACAGTGCGTCTACACCTTCTGACCGTGACACAGTGTGCTGAGAGGTCCAGTCGGCTTTTACTTTCCTCTAGGTCTCATCATTGTATTTTATTCGCCTTACTTGGCGTCATCCGCTAAGAAAGCGTCATACGTGAAGCGTGCTATTAACTACTGCCGTACTGAAGGCAGGTGCACAGCACGGTCTCATAACGGAATCATTAATATTATCAGAGTATGGTTATTAATTCTATTTAAAATGAGGCAAACATTAACATACAAAATAAAATTAAGGAATTATTACAGAAACCTGGGTTCAAGGACTGGAGGCAAAAGCACCTGTGGAAAGGCCAAAGGAGCCCTCTGGGTTAGGTAGCATGGCACATGCACAGTGCAACAGTCTCCTATGGCCATGAGACACTTATGCTGTCATAGACTGGTATCAATACCTGTGGGCAATCTGGACAGAACCAATCTCACGCCCCTGATTTTCAAGTGCTCTACAGTTCACACCCAATACAGTACAAATCACATGACCACTCAAACATGTATCCATACACGGAAGAGCTTTGTAGACCACAATACCCACAGTATAGAACTATTGTTTTATTTGAATTTATTCCATACATCTTACGGAAAAGCCTTACCTAAAGAGCCATTCATGTGATGGGACTCCATTCCTCCTAATCCACCCATGGGGCCATCTGACCCAGGACCCATTGGAAACTGTTTTAAAAAAAATGAACAAAGTGATTGTGAACATATGGGAATTCATTTTATTTAGCATTACTTATTAACATTAGAGACTGCCCTGATTTATTTCCAGGTATAGAAACTTTTCAGAATACTTTAAAGATTGCGGATTCTTTGTCTGTCCCACCTCTCTCATCTCTAACTTTTGGATGTTCAAGCTAATCTTCCTTTCTGTCCATTTTTCTTTTTCTCCTGAGACATGCCTAGCTGGAATGCATGGACATCCCATGCAAATGAGAAGATCAGCCTTCTCTCCTTGATGGTGATTAAGTCCCTTTTATACCCCCAGGGAGTTCTTAAGAAGCTGCTCGGGGGATTCAAGTTGGAAAGGAAGAAATCAAACTTTTGTTATTTGAAGATGATAAGATAGTATATATAAGTGACCCCCCAAACTCTACCAGGGAACTCCTACAGCTGATAAATACTTTCACTAATGTGGCATGATACAAGATCAACCAAAAAATCAGTAGCCCTCCTATATACAAATGATAAAGAAGCTGAGAAAGAAATCAGAGAAGCATCACCTTTCACGATAGCCACAAATAGCATAAAATATCTTGGGGTAACTCTGACCAAGGAAGTGAAAGATCTATTTGACAAGAACTTTAAGTCTTTGAAGCAGGAAATTGAAGAGGACACCAGAAAGTGGAAGGATCTCCCTTGCTTTTGGATTGGGAGGATCAACATAGTAAAAATGGCAATTCTACCAAAAGCAATCTATAGATTCAATGCAATCCCCATCAAAATCCCATTAAAATTCTTCACAGATCTGGAGAAGACAATAATCAACTTNTCATCAACTTAATAGGGGAAAACAAAAAACCCAGGATAGCCAAAACAATCCTGTACAATTAAGGAACTTCTGGAGGCATCACCATCCTTGACTTCAAACTCTACTACAGAGCTACAGTAATGAAAACAACCTAATACTCGCATTAAAAACAGACAGGAGGACCAATGGAATTGAATTGGAGACTCAGATATTAATCCACACATCTAGGAACACTTGACTTTTGACAAAGAAACTAAAATTATACAATGGAAAAAAGAAATCATCTTCAACAAATGGTGCTGGCATAACTGGATGTCAACAAGCAGAAGAATGAAAGTAGATCCATAGCTATCCCCATGTACAAAACTCAAATCCAAATGAACTAAAGACCTCAATGTAAATCTGACCACACTGAACCTGATAGGAGAGAAAGTGGGAAGTATCTTTAATGCATGGGCACAGGAGACCACTTCCTAAATATAACCCTGTAGTACAGACAGTGAGAGCAACAATAAATAAATGGGACTTTCTGAAACTGAGAAGTTTCTGCAAAGCAAAGGAAATCTGGCTCTAGAGAAATTCCCAGGAATCCCCAAGGATGACCCCCGCTAAGACCCTAAGCAATAGAAGAGAGGGGGCCCGAACTTGTCTTGCCCTCTAGTCAGACTGATGGATATTTTAAATATCACCATAGAACCTTCATCCAGCAACTGATGGAAACAGAAGCAGAGACCCGTATCGGAGCACTGGACTGAGCTTCCAAAGTCCAGTTCAAGAGCGGGAGGAATGAAAATATGAGTAAAGAGGTCAAGACCATGATGGAGGGGTTCATCACTGGAACAGTTTACCTAAGCTAATGGGAGCTCACCAACTCCAGCCGGACTGGGAGGGAACAAGCATAGGATCAAATTAGTTCCTCTGAATGTGGTTGCCAGTTGCCTGGTTGGGGCAGACTGAGGGGCCACTGGCAGTGGAACCAGGATTTATCCCCACTGCATATACTGGCTTTCTGGGAACCTATTCTCTTTGGATGGATACCTTGCTCAGCCCAAAGCAATGTGCCTCACCCTCTCTGAGGAGTGGATGGGGGTGGGGTGGGAGAGTATGTGGAGAGACTGGGAGAAGAAGAGGGAGTGGGAACTGGGATTGGTATGTATAAAGAAAAAGATAGTTTGTTTTCTTTAAAAAATAATAAAAAAGAAGCTGCGGATGCTATTGGCTCATTATGGATATTTCTGTTGAATCACGATGCCAGTGTCAACACTGTTTTAGTAGGTGAGAGATCACTGAATGGGGACAGAGAATGACTTCCTCATGCAGGTTAAACACATTCAGCTACTTAGGGATGCACTGCTAACTGTTCTTAGTCACCTGTGCTGTGCCAGCTTACTTCAGACTGCAGCAGTTAGGCTCCCATTTGTAAAGCAGCAGGATTGCTTCTTTTCAAGTAAAATCGTAGCAGTAGCTGTGAACCGACATGCTGGGGCAGAGCTGTGAGGGGAATTCACGGTCAGTGCTCTTTCACCTCCGCACGCCTCTAGAATGCTTCTGTGCCAACTGAAGGCAGGTATGGTCATCTTATGCTTGGAGGTAAGTACCTACCGAAGGCAGCATTTTCTTCTAAATGTTCCAATTCATACTCAAATCCACATGGACTGAGCATTGATTAGAGTGCTGAATCACACGAGCCTTCAGGACCAGAGCAGATTAAACAAGGCAGGAAGGGGAGGGCACAGGAAAAAGAAAAGGAAGGAAAGAAGACAAGCAGGCAGGCAGGCTGGGTGGGTGGCTTGGGGGGAAACTATTCAGACAAGCCTAAATGCCACCAGCTCACACACTTTCCCAGGAGAACAAGGTTGCTAAAAACACACAGACAGGTAGGTAGGAAAGATGGCCAAGGCACTTTGCCACCCAAAATCTGAGCTCAATCCCCAGAATTCACATAATGGATGGAGAGAAAGCTGAACTTCAAGTTGCCCTCTGACCTCCGCATGTGTGCCATAGCACACTAACCAGCACAAGGGCACACATGCACACAGTAAGAGAACACAATGAAACAAAAGCATGATTGGTCTTTTAGAAAGAACTTGTGATGCATGCACACAACTGGAACGTCAGAGAGTGACTGGATTGGAATCTTCTTACTCGGCTTTTAACAAGAGCACAGTTAAGAGCTGTAGCTGGGAAGTTAGAATGGAAGCCCAAGAGCCTGTGATGTGCTGCACGCTACCCTTCCCTGCCTCTGCAGCTTTAGAAGGTACTCGATGCTTTAGAAGACTACAGGCATGTAGGCTTTAATTAGTTTGGTATGCAATTAATGCATTTGCTCACTTTTTTTTCAATTTTAGCTACCCTATGTACTTACATATAAGCATATTTATATCTATATCTAAATTTATTTGGAATATTATTATGTTATAACCCAAATTTAAAATCCATACTTACATTAGGTCTGTTAGGTCCAGGAGGTACTGCGTTCATTAAAGTATACATATTGTCTCCAGAATTTGTTGAATCTGAAACAAAACATCACTTAATTAATATTTCTACCAAAGCCGTCACAAAACAACCAAAAATGACCTTGGCATACACAGAACTTGCCAGCTAGATACACAGCAGACATAGTCATTAGCAATGCTTGGAAACATTTCCAGGCAGTCATTATCTGACCCAAACTGTACTGTTCTAAAGTCATAAGTCAGGAACATGAAGAGAGGTAAAAAATTACAGTATATTTGACTCCATAAGCAATGATATCAGACAATTTTAAAAATTCAAATTAAGTAGCTTTTCAATTTTCAGGATTTTCTTAGAATTTCAAAGGGAAAAATCTGAAATTTAGGATGAAACTGGTAGAATATACTGATTTAATTTCAAACATGAGATTACAGCAAGACTAGTAAAAGAAACCGTCTTGCTTGACTTGTTTCTCCTTTTCAGAGATGGTCTTGTCTTATGGCTGTGTCTCGCCTTGAATTCACAACAATCCTCCTGTCTGTTTCCCAAGTACTGAATTAACACCCATGGCTTTCAGCAACTTTTTGATGAATTTATTCTGTTATTTTATTAAAATAACTGCAATATTTACTTTATAAGTATACACAAGAGTCTACACTACTCTAGAACTTATACTTCATGCCTACTAGCTAATTCTAATTCAATCTCCACACATATTTTATGAAGTAAAACCCAGAGTGAAAGTCAATTATTTTACATTGAGGAAATTAGTTATAAAATAGTTTTTTATTTTCTTAAAATTACCAAGTTTACTTACATGTATTACAATAGATCTTTATTTTGAAAAGGATTAAGTGTTTGAAAAAATGAGTTTTGTATTGACTCAAGAGAGGGAGTAAAATAACATGCTTTCTTATGGTAATGACCACAGAGAGACATAATTACTTCTTCCATGTGTGTCTACTTACTAGACATTAATTACCCTGTGATTTTTGTGTGTAGTATTTAGAGTAAGCACAGTATTATTCATTGGTCATTTATCAACAGTGATATAAAAATCTCAGCACTAGATTTTACTTTTTGTTTTGAGACCAGGTCTCACTGTGTACCTGTGGCTGTTCTTGAATTGATTACAGAGACCAGGCTGGCCTTGAACTCAGAGAGGTCCACCTGCCTCTGTCTCCCAAGTGCTAGGATTAAAGGTGTGTGCTACTAAGAGCAGCTAGATTACTTCTAAATAAATACCTCATAATAGTGAATAAACCAGAGTGCATCCCCTCAGGCTGGCCTTTGTTTTTGAACAGTAAGTGAGATCCCAACATATTTTTGCAGCTATAATTTTTTCATGTCCTCATCTATGAATACTTCTGTCACTTAAGGTTACTTACTCCTTCTTGTCTACCACCAGCCTTGCCCATCTTCTATTTTCATTCTCTCTCCTGCCTAGCATCTTCTCACCAGCCCCACCTACAGGAGTTCTGGTCACTATCCAAGACCCATTTCAAATGCTGTTTCTAGTGTAAGTTTCCTGAGGTTTCTGAGTGCATGCATGCTCCCAACCAATGCAGCCTTGTATCCCCCTTCTGCTCATCCTGGCTACCAAGAGTTCATCAGAGAAATGGCTATATTTTACTTAGTTTGTGTGCCTCGGACAACAAATTATATTTATTGCATTTAATTTGTCTAGAAAGTTCTATGATATTTCAGAAAATTTTGGATTTGTTTTTAAATATATGAAAACTTTAAATAAGTTTTATCTTTACTTTTGGTGAAAGAAAAATGGATTACATATTTTAAATATGCAAGAGATGAATTTATCATTTTTAAGACTAATTGAAAAGATAATTTCATCCAAATGAGAGAAAATCATCAAAAGGAATAAGGATGGCTTTCTGGGAAATGCCTGACTCTTTTTGATTCATGGAAGAGTCTTACACTGAAGTGAACCTATGGGCATGCTGAGGACACAGGCCCATTATTAAAGGATGCCTTTACAAAAGTATGTGAGCAAGGCCAGCAAGGCACGATGAAGATGTCAGTAGACTACTCATCCCTTGCTATGCTTAGTGTTGCTTGAAGGTAGGTTCTAGTCAATAGTGAAAAGAGAAAAATCATACACCATCTCATAAACTACACATTAGCTTCACAATATGAGACTGACACGCACGGGAGGTAATTAGTTCATAAATTTATCTTTGATGGATTCTGCTTCATTTTCAGCGTGGACACTTTGAGGATAGAGATAATGACAATTGTATGGAAAGAGAGAAATAGTAAATTTAAGTAACATTTCATATTGCCAAATTTGGTTTTAAATAAAATATACGAAATAAAAAATTATTTGCCAGCATTATTAATAATAATGAATTTTAAACTCCTGTATATCTTAGAACTAAATCTAAATATATTTGACTTCACGGTGAACCATACTAAAATTATTTTTAATTATAAACATTTCAAATCTATTTTATTACCAAGAAATACTGAAAACCTTAGCTTATTTCTCTGCTTTTAAAATTTCTGGGACAGATACATATGTGTGCAATACACATACATACATACATACATACATACATACACGTCTATACAAAATTGTGGGTCAGGAGAGGTGACCCTACTGTTAAGAGCACATACCTCTCCTGCAGAGGACCTGAGTTCAATTCCCAACACAAATATCAAGGGGCTCCCAATCATCTACAATTCCAGCGCTAGGGGATCTGGAATCAATTTTTAAGAACCATCGGGTAGCCCTTGATACATGTTCCATAACTTGATAGATCTTTGATAATTTAAATTCCAATCACTAGTCTCCAAATATGTTTAATAGTCTGTTAAAGTCTCAAGAAAAAAAAAGCTAATGCTACTTGAAATAATTATGTTGAATTGTTATGGAAATACTGAAGTATATCTTATTTTAGAAGATTAAAAAATCTTTCAGCAGTAGCCAGTAAATCTATTAACTAATAAATTCCTATAGACATGTAGGGTAAACAATACTATAAGCACATCCATACTCAGTAACATGGTAGATGTGGGGTGGGAGTCAGTTTGCCATTCTAACCTAATGGGTCTATGTCTTTAGTGTTTTACTCCTGGAGATTTTCTGAGTTGGGGGCTATGGATTCTTCTCAGTTTTAAGGGATTTGCAGGTAAGTTAAGTTACCTGCAATTCCTATAACCCAACACATTGCCCATATTGTCTAAATCTATAATCCACACAAGAGGAATTTTCTAAATCTTTAAGGACTGAAGCTCTCTAAGATCTTGACTTCTTCTTACCTGCTTCCTCCATAGTCTTTAAACATGTTGAGACAATGAAAATTCCTAAGTTGATTTAAGAAAAAAAATTCTATATTCTGTGGTTTTATCTTAGGAGTCAAATGCCCATGTATCTTGTTGGAATTATCATACCTGCTGGACTAGGCATGATGGGTGTTCCTGGTGGCCCTCCGCCTCCTGGAGGACCCTAAATAATTACACAAGATTTCAGAAAAAATAAAGCATTTCATTAAACAATGTAAGGAAAAGCAGGAAAAGGTTATACTTATCTCTATAATAATCCAATTTTAAAAATACAAAGCAAATATATTTCCTCTGTAATTTATTTTCTTTGATTCACAATCAACTCAATATTATGCAAAACATAATTTAGCTTAACTATGTTGAGACTGTTTTGACAAGTTTCCAAAAACAATAAGCCTGTAACACTGGTTTATTATTCATGATTTAATCACATCACCTATAATGAGGTTAAGAAACCACTTAATAGAGCCTTTACAAATCAACAAAGTAGGAATAATTCACGTGTACTTTAATTGTTCGCTGTAATTTTCTGACATTTTACTAAAACTACAAAGACATTCACAGAGAGTCTCTAAGAGACACTCACTTAGAGGTCCGCACTCCAGACCCACTAATGCTGCTTCTTTTCTCTGTTGGCTTTGGCTGTGATACAGAGCTCAGTATACTAGCTATTGCTTCAGTGGGAAACGAGACAGGGTCCTCACTGAGGCTGCTGCTACGCAGGCTGCAGCTCCACATCCCCTGATGAGGCAGGAGTGAGTCTGCCTTTAATTCTGACAACTAAACCAACAGGCTAGGCAACGAGCTTTAGAATTCTTCAGGTACCCTATGTATAGTGAGTCAAATTAACTTAAATCTTTATTCTGAGTGTGTAATACAGTCTACCAGTTACTTCAAATAATATCTGTACTTCCCACTAAGTAAACAACTAAAATGTCTTTTAAAATAAATGTATATAATCTCATGAACAACTTTTCAAGCCTATGAAGTGACTTTAAGAAAGAGAGTCATTCTAATTCCTTTATTTTGTTTCATACATATTATGTCAAGAGTTGGCCGTCTTTGGCTGGAACTGCTCAGGGGAACCCTGAGCACTAAGTCCCAGGTCCAGGTACAGCACATAGTGTTTCTGCAGGGGTTAAGGTGCTCATTCATCTTCCTCTTGTGTACCTGTATTTACTGTGTAGTAGCTGCCCATAACCTCTGAAAATTACTTTGGAAAATACTTCCTACTTTACTATTTTATACTTGCTTTTGTGTTAATATTTTCTCCTAAATTTAAAAAAAAAATTATCACTTCTGGAGGTCTTCGGATGAAAAAGGATCATAAAAGAGTAAAGCCAAAGGGTCATCTGTGACTTTAAGAGAGGAGGTCCAAAACCTACAAGTTTTGGCTTTAGGTCTACAAAAATACTGAGAAATGTTAATATGTATTAGATCGTAACAATGAAATAGGTATTTTCAGTTTCTAGTAATAGAAAAAGCCTATAAGATCCTTCCAAATTATTACTGAAGTCTGATCCACTTTGTGGTTGAGATAAAACGTCATGTTTTCTTAGCCTTTATGTGTGGTGAGCGGGCAGAGGGAGGGTGTGTACATTACTCTTATGGAGAACTGTGAATTCAAACATAATATTCTGTAACTGGGATGGCTCTCCTCATGATTGGATAGAGAGTATTGTAGTGGTTCCCAGAAACATATGCCAAAGTAAAACAGAGTACTCCAGGCAATTCTAGCCAGACTGATAACTGTTTCACTAATGAACATCAACATATGTATTGAGGTTGGCAGATGAAACAACCCAAGATGTTCACTTCTTGGTCAATACACAGGGGCTCTTCGGAACATCTGGGCAACAGTTTCATTGCTCAAATAAAATGTAACATCAATTCTTACAAGCAAACAAACCCAAATGTACTTACTACATAATTTCCAGGAGATGCTGAGGAATACGGTATCTGAAACATGAGCAGGACAGAAACAAATATTTTGATTCATGTGACTGAATGAGATTGAATTAAATAAATTGGCCTTTTTAAAATCAAGTTGAAAATATATTCCAAAGTACAATAAAACATAAAGGAATTTATATCTATCTAATGCCCCCCAAATCCAAGCAATTGTAGCATTATATTAAACTCACAAGAAAATATAGATTTTATTCAAGAGGAATTCAAAATTATAGTTTCAAATTATATTGGCTTAGGTGAGTTGTATCCACTGTGTGGTACTAATGAGATAGTCTATAAATAGAAAGATGTATACTTGTACAGCTAAGACCAGGAAACCAGAATTAGTAGCCTGTACATATAAAACTTCTAGTCTATGTACACCCTAAAAGACATTTGCTGCTACTTTCATCCAGTACATGTCATTTCTCACACTTCCTGCCTAGTTAATATTAAAACAATGCAATAAATTAAAAGGAATTGGCTGATAATCTGTGAAGAATGTGCTTTGTCTTCAGATGAAGCTCCCTGGAAGAGGCCATTTTCCAGGTAGGAGGAGGTTCTAATTCACAAGGCGCTGATGAAGGAAGTGAACAATAAACACAGACTTTAAAATAAACACCTAAGTGTGGGTGTTAATGGAAAAGTTAAACATTTTTTCAACAAACCCACTAGCTCACTTGCATGATACAGCCCATGAGCTTTATTCTGAGGAAAGACAGTAATTTGTCTCCCTGGAATGAGCTAGTCAGGGCCAGAATAAGACCTGAGTGGTAAATACGCTGATTCCTTTCTCTGACGGCCCCTAAACCTGCCGTAACAACACAGGAATACGAGGCCACAAATAAGGAACTCCATAAACCAGTTTCCCCTTTAAAATACTTGATGATTTTTAGAACTATTTAACAGTAAGCTATTTGAAAAGGCTTTCTCTTCACTGTTAGGGGTCCTTATTTTGTGTGAGCACAGAGCACAGGGCGCCAAAGCCTCTACTCTGGTGTTTGTGGGGGCTGACTGAGCCCACGGCTGCTGTGGTGCTCAGCTACTAGTGAAGGGCATTACTTCCTCCGGGTACTAGGGTCTCTCACAGCACTGACCCTGGCCTCCATTCAGAAAGCTCATGACATTGCTTTCTTGTACCCTTTTTAGGTCGTGGTCTAGCATCCAGACTTCTTAATACATTGCTTTAAATACAGACATTTGCCCCCTCTGAACTGTCAGCATTCTCTTGGTTCCTAGAACCCATCTCATCTCCCTGTCTTCAGCACCTGGTCAGGGTTTTCTTACTCTGATATTATCTAGCACAATAATCTAACCATCTTTTATCATCTTTACAATACATTCTTGAACTTTGTAACATACTGCATTTTCTCTTTCCTTTCTGAGAGTTCAGCACCCCTGTGCCAAAATCTGGGCAATTCCTTTGCCTGACTTACACTCATGCTTACAAAACTTACCCTGAATTCCTGTTGGATTTCTTTTTATTAAACTTTCATGTTTTCTTAGTCAATTAATCTTGGTCCGTTTACAACTAAACTAGCCCTGTATTCTCCTATACTCTATAGTTTGTCTCCCAAGTATCTTAATTATTCTTCCAAAGCCTACCAAACTGGTTCCTACTTCTCTGGTCATCTGCTAGTTAGTGTCTCTGTTTTACAAGAGATTTCCTGGAGGAAAACATAAAGCGAGGATGAGAAAATCACAAATACAACCACACTCTGTGACATACTAGTTACATCTTCTATGCTCTGCCCTAACAATCTTCACATTTTCTGGTTCAGCCTTTGCAGAAGCCCTGACATGTAAGCAATGAGCACGCAAACTTTAGGAGGAAGAAAAATTCTTGTTATAAATATTTCCATTTGCCAGATTTCAAGTTACCAAAGGGGTCCAGCACACAGCTCATGAAATTTCTGAATGAAAAATAAATTCTAAAATTTGGACTTCTTTTTCACTCTGTGAGCTGGCCTTCAGAGCCATTAAGTCATTCTGAGTAGACAGTTTGCCCTCCTGCCATACATTAAACCATTATTTCAGTTCAGCATGATGTTGTTTACAGATTTAAAATTATAATTATTATGCTGGAGAGAAAAAGAAAACAAGACTTTCTGTTAGTTTTCAAGGACAGCACCTCCAACTAGGTCTTGAAAATTCTTTCACATGGTGAAATAGAACTATCACTTTTAAATGCTTTACCAATTCTTATCTCACCTAGCTGTTAAATTTACTCCCATCTTTGTCCGGACAAGCTCTTTTATTTTAGTTTATATAAACTATTTCTATAATATATTCAGTCATCTGATTATAATTCTGTATCTTTGGGCTGCTACTGCTGGTACATAACTGAATCTGTGCTCTTGAAAGATGCCCAGGATGGGATAACATAGCATGAAAGACACACACTACATTGAAGAGACAAAGACACTGAGTGAGTATAGTGGGTTTGTTTCTGAGCTGGAGATCTGGGATGCACAGAAAGAAGGCAGGGAAAACAAGAATGATGAGAAGACCTGAAGGGACAAAAAGAAATGAGGCTGCACAATACATTCAGGGGATGTTACACAATTGTTTAATGGCTGCTACACTGTAGGATTTGTGGGCTGTATGGTAAAAGATAAGGCCACATGCTTGGACCAGGAACGAATGCATGCAATAGAAAGTTAAAGGGTTTTCTAGACATGTACATTTTCAGTCAAGAGATGGCAAAGAGAGTTGTGGGGGATGCTGACCACAATACACAGAACTGCAGAACTGAGAATCATTTCATAAATTATCTCGAAGGACATAATGATAAATGGTGTCATAATTCTAGCTCCAGAGAATCCAGTGTACTCTCATGAAATCCATAGGCTCCTGTATACATTGGGTGCTCTTACATACAGTCAGGAACACACACACACATGCATGTGTGCACACACAAAATATAGTAAATATTTTAAAACATGTTAAAATGAAGACACAGTTGATAAGTAAAATCACAGAGCCAAAGGGTCACAATCATCTAGGTACAAAAAGTTGATTAAGAAAATTAAGGGTCAAGTATGTTGCATGACTAAGTTAGACGGGAATTCTGTATCTTAATACTCATAATTGTTGGTGGTATGAATAAGGGCTATAGAGCAAAGGGAAGCAGAAAGAGAGGTACATTTTCTCAAATCTTTGAACCTAAATCAGATTTAAATCAAGGTTTTTAGAGGAAAGACTACTAAGGACTGGGGAGGGGGCTAGAAGAATAATGGAAAAGGCAGGATAGAGGTTTGAAGGGCGGATAGACAGGACAAATGAACAAACGCACTTGAGAACAGAGATTCCCATTAATTTGTACAATTAATGTGTTAATAACTATCATGGAAAGTAAATAATTAGAGAGCTTTCAGAATGAACAAGCCTTTGCTCTATTAAAAATTCAACCAAGAGAGAAGGAAAGAAAACATTTTTAAAATATCCATTTGGTGACCACACAGTGGGGAAAGAACAGGTTCAGGTAAGAATCACCAATAGATGCTAAAAATGGCTGCTGAGGATGAGAAAGAAAAAGAACATTTACCTCAGTTTCAAATATGGTTCTACATGGGTATTTATAGAGAAAAACAGTAATTTTCATGTAACAGAAACTTCACAGCAGCAGCTTAGCCAAACAATCCAAATTAAGGTGACCAGAGGCAAGACAGGCCCACAGGAGCCTCCAGCAATGGTGTTGTGAGGAAAACACAAAGCTCCTCCCGCCAATCCCGGCAGGTGTCAGACAAAGCAAGCTATGGGACTTTCTGAACAACTGCTCCACAGCCAGCACAGCTGCGGCCGGCAGAGACAAACGCCAGCTGAGCGGCCTGTTCCGGAGGAAAAGCGACAGGTACAGGGCCGAGGAGTAGCATAAAGATACTATTTAGACAACTGGGAAAATTCCAGTAAGATCTGTAGATTAAACCAGCATCAGTCAGGGTCAGGGCTATGACCCTCAGCACGGTTTGGCAGGGGCACTTTCAGGAGATCCATGAAATAGCTGGTGTGGACCTCAGGAGACTTACACAGAGCAGGGACGACTGCTCAGAGTGATCGTGAAGCAAAGGGGAGAACATCAGCACAGGGTGCATGGGAAGGCCTGGGCCTTCTCCCAGCCACCTGCGTGTCTGACATGGCTTCATGATTATTATAAAAAAGATAAAAAAAAAAAAACCAGAAAACCCACTTTAATATGCTGTCCTGAGCAGACAGACACATACCAGCAACATCAGATGGAAGGCTCTGTCATAGGAAATATGTAGAGAGAGTCAATCAAAATAACTCAGATGAGTCACCACTCCACAGCGATCAATTGCGTTTGCCTCTCTCTGTTTCACACAAGTCCTCTCTTCTAGAAGGCCACCCACTGTCTGCAGTTTTCCTTTAGCTCTTCACTCTCCATGAGAGGCGTATTCTTCCTCTGTAAGCTTAGGAAGAAGACTTCCTTCTCTTTCTGGAGAACCTCACATGTGCCCCATTGCTTACCCAGTGCACGTCCTTTGAGTTAGGAGAGATATCTCTGTATATGGCATACATAAACAGAAGGGACTACCCTTCAGTTCTTACTTGCCTAAACTGTACTGGTCAAATGTCCACTCCATACTGGCCATGGAGCAGTTTATTGTGCCCATTTCCAGGCCAGTTCCTAGTATTTCTTGGGGTCTAAGATGATCTAGATCCACTGATCTAATACACCAATGCTCAGATGAGTCCTGAAGCTACGGGGTCCTCATAACTGAAATTCATCAGAATATGGGATTTTTGTCTCACCTCTGCCCATATTAAATTCACATTACTTGAATAATATACTACCAGGTACAACACAGCTATTTCCCTATTACCTCCCCAAATGCCATACATGGTCCTCAGTGGCTCTCAGCTACACTCTCAGGTATGTATCAAAAGGTGCTGATGGACTAGCCAGGTGGTGGTGGCGCACGCCTTTAATCCCAGCACTTGGGAGGCAGAGGCAGGCGGATCTCTGTACATTTGAAGCCAACATGGTCTCCAAAGTGAGTGCAAGGAGAGGCTCCAAAGCTAGAGAAACCCTGTCTTGGAAAATGAAGGGGGGGAAAGGTGCTGATGAACATGGAGCATGAATTGTTGAATTGTTCTCTGCCTGCAGTGGACGGCTGTGTGGACACTAAGCTTAGGAGCAGCACAGGCTTCACTTTTCTGTCTAGTTTCATCACTCATGGAGGGAACAGGGATTCCTTCTGGACTCTGAAACTGGGGAGACTGTCAAAGAGCTCCGTGTTACCTAGAAACATTTTAATAGGTCTCTTAACAGAAAAAAATAGCAAAGTATTTGTACTGCATGCCAGATGCCATTTCAAAGTGAAACCCCAAATAAACAAATTAAGAAAAAGAGCAAGAAGCAAAGAAAAGGAAACATATCCTAAGCAACTGAAAGCCCTGGGAAGAAGTTATTCACATTACAATATAATCTGGCAAAATAATATATAATATATATAATATTGAGATTTTTCTCAATAGTTCACTGAACACCCAAGTGGAAACAACATCTTTCTCTTTACCTGAAACAATTAGTCAATGTCATGACTACTAAAGCCAAAAGAAAATAAGAAAATACAAAATTAATATTTTCTCTAAAACATGAATGATTTAATTGATTTGGAGGAAATTTGGATTTTGTTTTAGAACAGCATTGGGCCTATGGTTATTTTTTCCCATACCTCATATACCTATTTTTTACTTTTTGAAGTTTTACATTAATCTTAAATATTAGTTATGTTTCAGACTTATTTAGCATTTGGGCAATTACCAGTGAGTGGAAGCACCTGTACACAACCAGCAAGCTCCATCCTTTCTTAGTGCTCATGGACTTCATTCATGGAGCTTAGTCTGCTTGGCTTACCTTGGGTGTCTGTGTACAGTGTGCACACCACACTAATGTTTAAAACAGGCTTCTCTCACCTAGTGGAATGCTTATGATTTCAAAGAGGAAAAAAACCATCTCCAGGATCATTCAGTTTAAAACCTGATAGCTTAATTTTCAACCTGTGCACATATCTCTGTGACCTTATTAAGAGAAAAATGCATTAAGCTACTGCCACAAAATATAAGAAAGATTCCCAGGGTGTCAGATACATAGATGTGCAGGGATGGCAATTTAGCTAATAGGCACTAGGCAAATGTGCACCTGGTAGGTATGATAAACAGCACACAATCATAGCAATTCAGTTTTCTCTAATCGAGACTCATCTCATCTGGCAACTTAATGATCTTTAGCTACTCTAGAAGATCAAACCTTATGAACTGTGTGGATCACCAGGCACACTATTGCATTACTCACTGTTTCTACCTTTCGAAATCTGTTAACTGCCACAGAGCACATGTTTACATGAGGAAATGAATAAAATACAAAACTTCAAAAACATATATTTTTAAGAGAAAATAAGCTATTTTTTGAGCACCTTCTTTAAAAGCTTAATACAGCTATGCTCAGTTCCTGTGGAGCTCTCAAAAGCAAACAGTCTTTTCACTGCTAAATGTTACAAAGTGCAAAATATGTATACTCACTGAGTTGGCATTTGTTGGGTTTGGCCAAGGTCTACCACCACCTGGACCCCTACAAAATGATATGACAGATTAAATTTCAACATGTGCCTAAATGGTTTCCCAGTGAATAAAGAACACGGCTCAAAACATTCATGTCTGTAATTCAGTTACCACACCCAAATCACTTTTTAGTCATTTTGATAGCTTTCCCTTGAACAAAAAAATTATTTCATGAAAGTTTCATGTATAGTTAAATACTATTTATTTTCATAGACAAGAAATGGAAGTCGCCCATAGCAGTCCATATATGCTCCTAAATGATTTTTACCAGTTTCAGAGTAAAAGGGATCAAATACAGATAAATATAATCCAATATATCAGTATGAATAACCTGTGTATCATTCAAAATGAAATTATTTATAAAACATTCCATAAATGATTACTGCCAAATTTCAAATAAGAACTATCTAAACTTGCCTCCTTAAAAATTATATTAAGAATAGATTATATATCACTGTACCATCTGGTGCTAATGAAGACTTGGTTACCACGGGAAAGCACAGAGTCTGAGGTTAGTCTCATTGTCAGTATCATTATAATGTAAGGCTGCCACTGAGTTACCAAGTATCAGTACTACTGTTTACCACAAAAGAATGCAGCCTTTAAATGGGCATGTGAATTACAGCTCTACAGGTATAAATATTCATATTTTCATAATTTTAGTTGAAGGTTGTAGAGAGAACAAGTCTTGAAATGAAAGGAGATAATCTATACCAACTTCATTTTAGAATTCAGGAGAATGTTTTATATTTCTTACCCTATAAACAAAATTAATGCCCAGTTAATTAAAACCAAAGTCATATACTTGGGCTATGGTTTTAAGTATATTTGAATACTTAAATTCAAAATATCGTTTTATGAAAATCAGACTATTTTCTTTTATTAGTTACTGAAAATTCTGTTCTTATTATGGCAGTGAAATTTTCTAATTTAAAACAGTCCTTTGACTCTATGAACCTTAAATCTAAAGTAATTAACATTAAATAAAGACACTGTCCTAGACACCTATTATGTTAGCTATGTCTGCTAGGGATCTTTACAGCCACTTTGGTTTAGCTTGGTTGGTACTCCTAGGGCGTAAACAGAGGGAGCGGGCATAAACCCTCCTCAGGCTCTGTTCTAACTGCCCTGAGGAGAATTCTCCCCTTCAAGTGATATTGATAAGGATGACAATGGTAATGAGAATTTCACAAGTGATTACTGAACACTATTCAAAGACTATTTTACATATAGGATTCATTGTCCCGATGGACATAAAATGCTGTAAAACAGGATGCACTGCTCTAGTAAAGCCTCTGAGTAGAAAGATCAGCCAGTCTGTCTGATGCTAAATACAGTGCATCTGTCTTGAAACAGCCTAGAAAATAGTCAGATCATGGGAAGTTAAATACTATGATGGTATATAGTTAACAATCAGAGCTCTGAAATGACCCAGTAAGAACTATATGAATTGGGCTCACAGCAAGGGTCAGCAGGTAAAGATATTTGCTGCCAGCCTCCTAGCCTGAGCTCTGTCCCCAGGAACCAATGGGGAAGGTGAAAACAGCTTCCTCCACCCTCCACACACATGTTATGGCATGTGCATTCCTGATACAAAGTCACTGTGATTTCTTTTAAAAAACTGTATGAAAAAGACAAATGAAATAAAACATTTAACTTAAAATTTATCTATTAAATTAGAAGCTAAATTAAAAGAAATTTTTATTTAAATACCATAAATTCAATGTTAAATTTATTATAAGTAACACTATTTCTATTGTTTACACTAATCTAATTGCAGAATTCTGTATTTTGTATTAACTTCATTTTAACATTATGGGAAATTACATATAACTCATATAAACACACTAACAAAGTTCCACAAATAGTGCCAAATCAAACGCCTAGTGGTTTTAAAGAACAACTGAGTTAGCTCAACAATGTCCACTTCTGATGACCTGACAACTGCATCACAAGCATTATTTTGAATAAACATTAGATGAGCCTTGTTTAGAAGCAAAGAAAAGAGAATATGTGAAAGATGTACATATTTTTGATAAGCATCTACTATGATGGACTGCTGGAATCGTGACGACCAAGGAGATAATTCCCCTGTGGAGTTCACGCATTTAAATAACCCACTGCATAGAAATAACTTTCTAGGAATGGCTACCTGCTGCAGGGGCAGTGCTCAGGGCACGGCCTGAAGCCCCTGGAATCTTGCTACTGGTGTTTCCTTTCAAAACCAATCTGTAACACATTTAGAAATGTTTATAAATTTTACTATCCATCAATTACTATTGGGTATTTACTTGCTATAGAAGAGATGAAAACCTACTCTGAATGTGCAGTTTGTCCCGAGTGTCAACTTCCTGCCACTGTAAGCCTTTCCTCCAGGTGACCAATGTTTATTTATGAACTTTTATTGGTGCGCTTAGCAAATTTTTGTTGTGAATGTTTAATTCTGCAATTAAAAGCTATGTGGCTGGTTAGAATACAGCATTTAATTAATTAATAATTTAATTAATTAATATAGCCAGGGCTGGCTGTTTACACTCCTGTCCTGTCTTCACAGCACATGAGAAGGAATGACAAGAAATATTCCCCAACTCTCTGGCAAGCCTGTCCTTGCTCCTAACCCATCTAAAAATAAAACTTGGAACACCATGTCTTATTTTTCAAAATTTCAATAGCCTAACAGGGTTTTCCTTTTTAATTTTTTTTCTTTTAAAATGTCATGAAGAAAGGCCCACGGGCCATTTTTTTTTAAAAAAAAATCTTTGTAAGGGGAATCACACATTTGCTTTAAAGATTACAAATAACAACTTTCAATTCAATTTACTTTACAAGTGTAAGGAGGACATGGTGTTTTTACTGTCTCGGTTTACCTTGGATTTGCTAGGGAGAGCAGCAATGCAATGATTTCCCTCTTTGACTAGAACTTGATTAACTGCAAAGTTTCCCTGCCACAGAAAAGTATTTTATGCTTAAATATATATGTATTTTTCATTGTCTCTGAGAGAATCCTAATTTACTAAAAATGAAAATAATTATAGAATGCTCCAAAATAAAAGGGAAAATAACAAAAAAATGGGAATAAGCTTGTAAGGCTTTATACTCTTTAAGAACTAGACTTCATATCAATTATAGAATCTTATATAAGAGAAAATATTTCAAACTATCTAATACCTAAGTAGCCTAAATAGCTCTCGCCAAAAAAAAAAAAAAATCCTACTAAGAATTTTAGCCACATTTTTAGTCTTAACAGTCGAGGGAATTAAGAGTACTCCTATGTGAATGCTCAAGTACATACACCAGAAGGAACTAAAAAATTGTAAGTAATTATTTGAGTCTCTGAAGTCACATAAAAATAAAATTTTACAATGTACCAGCAAAACCAGGCTTATCTCAAGTTGGCCGTGTGGCTAATTATCACACACATACTCCACCAAATGATATTAGATATGTTCTCACACTTGACAACCTGATTGACCATATTGAAAATTCACTAAAATATATTGACTTTTAAAGTGAGAATCTAAATTAAGTCTCATGTATTTTTCCAGCCCACTGTTAAGAGCTCCAGCCTTTGACATAAGTAGAAAATATCATTCAATCCTCTGGAGCAGGCGCTAATAAAGGGCGAGTCTGTGAGGAGTTCAAGAGCCAGACTTCATGTCTATCCATTTTTATTTCAAAAGCAAAAAGATGTTATAGGAAAATTTGACCTACTTTCCTCCCTGTTCTGTTAGTTTTGAGTCTGGCTGGTATCCACTTATTAACCTATTTTCAGTTTTAGTAAAAATTACATCCTATGAAAATGGTTTCAGAAGCTTAAAGAACCCTGCATACATCAGAAGAGCTCATTTCAGTGTGTCTTCACGCCACTGGATGACAGCAGAGTTGTTTCATTTAATACGGAAGGAGCTAAAAACAGGCAGATGGCAGGTAAAGTTGAGGAGCCTTACAGGCCTACATGGAACACGTTAATCATGTCTGATGAGCTTCCTTTAGGCTCCGCCACGTTGGTGATCCTCTGGTGAATTCGGAAAAGTCATTAGCAAGATCTAGTTTATACAGGTCTTCAAGGGAAGGTTGGAGAATGCAAAATAAATAGAATTCTTTAGTAAATTGCATTGCAACAGAAACAATCTACTCTTTTCGGACTGGAAAGGCCATTCCAGTAAAACAAACATCTTCAGTTTATTCTTCACCCACTTACAACTTGAGTTTTCAAAGAGAACCAATCCTGTACTACGAGCATTCTTTTTTTTTTTTTTTTGGTTTTTCGAGACAGGGTTTCTCTGTGGCTTTGGAGCCTGTCCTGGAACTAGCTCTGTAGACCAGGCTGGTCTCGAACTCACAGAGATCCACCTGCCTCTGCCTTCCGAGTGCTGGGATTAAAGGCGTGCGCCACCATCGCCCGGCTTCTTTTTTTTTTTTTTTTTTTAAAGATTTATTTATTTATGTATACAACATTCTGCCTCCATGTATGCAGGCCAGAAGAGGGCGCCTGGTCTTATTACAGATGGTTGTAAGCCACCATGTGGTTGCTGGGAATTGAACTCGGGACCTCTGGAAGAGCAGTCAGTGCTCTTAATCACTGAGCCATCTCTCCAGCCCCCTATGAGCATTCTTGAACACAGAGGATGTCACCACAGAGAACTTCTTTTGTGTTGAAAGTGGCCCCAATGATGGAAACACAGACATATTTTTATGAGTATTAACTGTATTGTCAGCTACCACAAAGAATTTATTAACATGAGTATGAATTCTCAATTATCAACCTCTGCAAAGTTAGTACATGGTTCTGGTGTCTGCATCTCTTCGTAGTGTTATATAGATTCTATATGACTCTATACGTAATTATTAAAAAGCAATAGACTGAAGGTTGTGATTTATGGTACCTAAAATGCAAAAAGAATTTGAAAGTTGTGTAAAAATGAGAAAAATATGATAGTAAGTCATGAAAATGAAGCAAAAATTGCACTCTTGTTTAGTTAATTTTCATACAGCAAAGACACTGAGGCACTTAAATTGCTTTATAAGTTTGTGTAATTTCAGAAGACAGTAAACAGAAGACCTCACTAAACAGAGTAATAAGCATTTTGCTTACATGTTCATTGCAGGCATTCCGGGGCCACCTAAAGCATTCAGTGGGGGTCTCATTGCACCTCCATAGTTCTGTAATGATAACCAAGGGTCAGACTACCACAAAACAAAAAAACAAAACCAAAGAGGAGGGGGGAAAGAAAGGAGAGCAGGTTAATGACTTCCCTACATAACTCCTGACTGGTAAGGCCTGTGTAATTCATTCTCTGAGGGGTCCACTCTTGTATTTTTGCTTCTATTTTTAGCACAACTACTTTGGTTCATGCCATTCAAAAATTCTATGAATATGGACAATCACTGGATCATGTTAAATGATCAAGATTATAACATTCAACATATCTTTATTATTATCTAATATCTATACATTATTTACTTTTTCAAATAAACATATCTTAAGTCCCAAAATTCTGTTTTTAGATAAATTATTAATTCAATAGGTTTGAAATTATTAGATGAGAATATTTACACAAAGTCTGAAAAGAAACTCAACCGGTAAACCCAACCCGAGAATGCTAAATACAAGCTTCTATTCATAGAGAAATATATCCAACGTAGACATGTGCTATTACAACACCCAACCATATGAGAACTAAAGCATTCTGAAAATACACCTGCTTGAATTGTGTGACCCAATAAACCTCAGGAAATACCTACTATGTGCATTAAAGGAGATGAAAAGCAGTTTAATGTTTTAGTACCCATATCATATTAGCTTACTAGTTAGGAAGAAGGATCAAAGACTACTTTCTGATTATCATGTTAATACATTTGACACTGTCAATGATTTTCACATTTGGTTTTTTGATGCCAATCTCCCTTCTCTCGAGTGTTGTATTCCAGCTACATTGCTGGCTCCTTTGGTTTTGCTCACTCTTTAAATATTACTTTCCCTCATGTTTTAGCTACAGTATTATTTTCAATAAATACACATTCATGGGTAATCTTATGTGCTCCAATCTGTTCAAACACTGCTTATACACCAGGACTTTGCATCTATTTTATCGTGTGTCACTACGTTGCTGAATTATGCTGAGCTCCACAGGGGTCGGGTATGCCTGTTGTCATCTCATGCTAAGCACACAGAAACCAGCATCACCTGCGTGTGCCTGAGTTCCTCATGCTCACTCTTCCTCTAGTACTTTGGCATCACCTCCCACATTAAAAGGCCACACTAGGAATTTTTTTCTTTCTTCTTTCTTTCTTTCCTTTCTTTCTTTCTTTCTTTCTTTCTTTCTTTCTTTCTTTCTTTCTTTCTTTCTTTCTTTTTCCTTCCTTCCTTCCTTCCTTCCTTCCTTCCTTCCTTCCTTCCTTCCTTCCTTCCTTCCTTTATTCTCTCTCTCTCTGTCTCTCTTTTCTTTTCTTTTCTTTTCTTTTCTTTTCTTTTCTTTTCTTTTCTTTTTGGTTTTATTCGAGACAGGATTTCTTGGTGGCTTTGGAGCCTGTCCTGGAACTCACTCTTTTAGACCAGGCTGGCCTCGAACTCACAGAGTTAGCCTGCCTCTATCTCCTGGGTGCTGGGATTTAAAGGCGTGAGCCACCACTGTCCAGCCACACTAGGAATTTCTACAAGTTCCTGGTGTCATTTCTTTTTAAAAATAAAATAAAATAAATTTCATATTTGGTCAACTGCCAGAGTCTGCTGCTTGCAGCAGTGAAAGTCCCTGCAGTGTTCTACTTCCTAGTGTGAAGACTACTGCACCATCTTAATTGGTTTCTGTTTTACTCTTTCTACTTCCTTGAGCAACTCTTTTTCTAAATTACAGTATTACTCATACCATTGAAAAGAAATAATGACCCAGATCACCTGTCAAATAGGTCTAAACTCCTGAATATGTCTCCTTTAACAAGCCAGTCCCAGCCTATGCTTTCTGCCTTCATTTCCAACTTCTCCTAGTTATAATTCTAGCCTACTGGATTTTTCCAAGTGAAAGAAACTACACTTCATAATCACGCTAACTTATCCTATGGAAACTCTTTGGAGGGGTGTTAGGAGAAAAGGAACGAATCAATAAGAAAGGTCTGCTAATTCTAGACAGAATGACATACTTGATAAACGAAGTCACCCGGCCAACCTGCTACTCTCATTGTTGATTTGCTTTCACTTTAAGGAAAAATCATTTACACTCAGGTTTGTGAGCTGTGGGGAGCCACTCTAACCACACAAGCCATTAGGTAAGAGGGAAGCTGGCTGTGTAATATTTGGGCCATGCACGGCAGTAGTAGTGGTAGTAGTCAGAGTCAAAAGTCATGGAGATGAAAAATACAGATGGTAAAGTAAGGCTCAGTGATTCATCACGAGGAGGTCTTGCCATCTTTCACCTTATTCGTGAGTTTTAGAAAATCTAATATTCCACTCTGGGCACAGAGACGTATCAGCTTGGGTCTCTACTGTCATAGCATTATGACCTATGCAGCATGCTGTCTCTGTGAGACAGGGTCTCTACATAGTCTAGGTTGTCCTTGGACTTGAAAGCCTCCTGCCCCAGCCTTTGGAGTTGAGGGATTACAGGTGTGTACCACAATAGCCATTCTTTTATATGGGCCAACCATTCTCTTAGCCTTATTTTCCTTACCTGAACGGCAATAATATTGATTTCCATGTATAATTTTCACAGGATAAAATGAAATATAAACTAGCAGAGTGCTTGATGAATTAAAACATGGCACTTGCTACTTAAAAACTGTAGCTGTTAATTCTTTTTTGAGGATGTTAATAAACTAAACTCCCTGCTTCACTTTTCAACTCTAAAGCATCACTTCTATGTTCTTGTGCTGACTCGCTGTGTAATTACATAGGGTCCATATTTTGTTTTCTAGGTTTTTAGTATTAGATAATAGCCTTTCTAAATGCAGCTGCATTTCCTGTTCAACAGTACGCACCTTGAAGACAGAAATCCCATTTTATTAATCGTTTTATACTAATGGTCAAGTAGGATGTCTGGTATACAGCAGACCTTCAATAAAAGATGAGCTAATTAAACTGAATTGTCATCGAAAGTGAAGGATTATCCAATATAATACGTGATTTACAGATATAAAATATTTTCATTTTGTGAATAATATTCCAAACCACAAAGAACTCAGGAAGAAAAGAATAGCAAAAGGCTTTCCATGTGAGCAACAAAGGCAGATGGGATGAGCTCATATCGAATCTTGGAATTTTAGAGCTGGGGCCACTGTTCTATTTCATCCAGGCGAATATCTCTTCCAATACCATGTGCCTCACCAAATGGTGTTCAGACTGTCTGCTAGGAAACTTTAATATGTCTTTCCTTTATTGGAAGTCTAATTATTAGAAAGTTTTATCCTATAGCAAACTGAATTCTACAATTCAGGATGCATTTAGATATATGGAATGAGCTTATTCTCTCTATGCAAGCTATACCTTCTCAATTAACACTTTCATTCATCCCAACTATTTGATTTTTAAGTGTATGTAGCTTATTTACCCTTATGGATTCTAGAGGAAATTGAAATAGCTATGCAATTTAAGAGACTATTTCCATAAGTCCATGGAACTTGCTGTTTGAAGAACACAGGCTAGCTAAGGGACACTCACAGAAACAAAGAGAAAACAATTTCAAATACCATATCAGAAGAAAAATTTTTCCCTGATGAAATATATCATTTTCCTTTTCCACTGAAAGGATATTGATACCAATTTAAAAATCATTTTTGTCTGCTGTCCTTAAATGAAAATATATTATAAATATATCTTAACTTGGAGTAAGTTTATGTCACCCATAAAATACACATTACCTCCATGGTCATCCTGCTCTGTGCATACTTGCTTAACTAACAGTACTCAAGAACCATTATGCTAAGTAGAGTGCTTTGTTTCAAACGAAGTTGTTGCCAGAAATGACTATCTCACTTTATTACACAGATCTTAAGGTCAAAAACCACAGATGTGATATTTATGGAATTAGGGAGACAGGTTGCTGGCACAGACCTTTAATCCTAACACTCTGGAGATTCAGAGGCAGGAGGATTTCTGTGAGTTCAAGGTCAGTATGATCTACAGAATGAGTTCCAAGCCAATCAGGGCTAAACAGTGAGACCTGTCTCAAGCAAAATGAACATGTATGTATATTCTGTCTATGCATAAAGCTACAAACATCATTCCAGAGCCTGTTCATATAATACAGGTACAAAGAGACAGGGCAGTTTACCCTTGGGTGGCAGCTACATGGTAAAATGTCTGTTGTAGGAATTGTTTTTCATTATCTTTTAGGAAATGAAGTTTATATTTTTTGATACAAACATTCCACTTGAAAGGGATATGTTGTGACTATCACAATGGGATTCCTGCCATTCCAAATGATTTTACTTCAACTTTATCTCCTATCCCATTCATGAGCATGGCTCTTGCTTTTGTTTAAATGGTTGGTATTTACAATTATTTTTTATTAGCCTTTTGTATGGTTTAACTTTTGGGGTTATTGTTGGTGTTTCTAGTTTCTGAGATAAATTTATATGAAGGTATTTATTTCCTTCATGCTAACAGAAATAGATATGAAAGATACTAATAGAAAAAAACTACTTTATGGCTTGCATAGGAAGTATTCACACTGACATAATGAACTGTGACAAGAAGTCATCAGAAAAGATTACTAGCCAGAAGTAAGTTTTTATTATCTTTTGCAATTTTTATAATATAAAATATATAGCTATTTGTAACATAAAGCATACAACCTACTGTGTTTTTAATTTCAGAATTTTAAACTGATATCTATGTGTCTAATGTCATCAGCCCGTGATTGGTCAATACTCCAGTGTATATGCTAACACCCAGCAAACAAAGCCCTTTTATCAGGAGGCAGCAGCCCAGTGTTTCCCTCTCAGGCTGACTGTTTACCTGTGGTCCTAAGGGCACCATTCCTCTTGGAGGAGTCATTCTCTGCATTGGTCCACCCATATTTGGATGTCCTAAAGGAAGTATGAAGAGGTTAGCAACAGAACAGCTATGAGCACTAAACCAGAGACCAGTTTCCTCCTTGCTGGGTAGAACCATGCCACATCTGAGCACTGCCACCACCGTATTTTACTATTGTAGCCATCATTTCCAACTCCGGCTATCACCTGTCCCACACTCTCTACTGGTTTCTTAGCGAAAATTTTCTTCCTTATCTGTGTTTACTTCTCTTACAGTCTTTGCTCCTCTTCCCTTAGGACAGTATTTCCTGGAATGTAGCCTTTGCTATTCATGGTCCCTAAATATTGCCAAGGCTCCTGGGAACTGTTCAACTACTGAAGTCACATGCTACTTTGTGCTCTTCCCATCTTTCATCCCTAAGTCCTCTATATGAAAAATGTGGAGGAACTGAAAGTGTATAATCACTTAACTTCCTATGTGTTAGAAGTCATGCACAAGATTTTAGACATTTTAATATTCTGTCTCTTACGTCAGCATCTCTAACCTGCTATAGTGTATAATTAAGAACTAGCTGGAAAAATAAGCCATTTAGTCATGTTGCTGTGAAAATACATCCGGGAAAATTCTGGAATATTTATAGCAATGAAGTTCTTCTGGAAGAAATTCCTCGCTGGTTCAACGCATCAGTTTCACCTCCACTTTAATTACCTTGTTGTCGTGTTGGGTCCATTCCACTGGGGAGTAATGGCTGACTTCCTGGGACACCTCCAAGTGCCTAGCAATTCAGTAAAACAAAAACAAAAAGCAATATTGTAAACACTTATGGAAGACATGCATTAGACATTTCTCTAAGTATATAATGCATTTGAATCTCTCTCAAGATCTTTCAATTTCTCATTCATTTTGTTTCATCCTTGTATACAATTAACAGCATCTTCAAAATATAATTAAATATGGACTGAAACACCTTTCTATAAAGATCCTCTTAGTTAACTTTAACTGGAAAATCTTATCAAATTAAATATTCAAATATTCCAAAAAAGATATTTAACAACTATGCACCCAGATGTGGCAAGTCCCTTTGTTATTGGGGTATGTAGCAGAGAGCTCTAGTTATTCTTTTTTTTTTAATTCTATTTGTTGTTGTTACTATTGTTTGCAAGTATACCCAATATACACTTACCTTGCAAGAATATTTAAAAATTTTTATTTCTTATATTTTTAAGAATATAATTAATTTCCTCCTTCTCTTTCCTCCCTCCCAACTCTCCTATATACGTCCTTGATCTCTTTCAAATTCATGCCCTCTATTTTCAATAATTGTTACATACATATATGTATATTTTGTGTACTTATTCCTAAATACGTCAATATAACATGCTCAGTATATACAGTGTCAGCTCAGTCTGTATAGTGTTACTTTCATGTGTGACTTCAGAGCTGACCATCTGGTATTGGAGTGCTCTTCTTCTCCTCTCAGGAAACCTTATAAGGTCACTGCTGACATCTTTGACATCTGTTTTGGGATCATTTCTTTACAGAATTCTTGGGACAAACCTTATAATTGCATAACTTCATGAACATATGAAGCCTCACCATATACCCCAACCCAGAGTCCTCATCCCCTCCCTTCCTTTCTGCCCCACCATCCCCCTTCCCCTCTGCTATACTATCCCCTCCCCTCCCCCATCATAAATCATCTACGGGAGCTCTTGAGAGCAAGCTGCAGATGGAGCGCCTCGTTATCCTAACATTTTAAGTCAAGAACCTCCTGATACAGCAGGACCACCAGTCACAGAGCTAATATAAGTCCTGTCATTTCTCTTATTTCTTTCTGGTACCAGAACATCATGGACCATGTGTTATCTTGAGCTGCCATGACTCTTTCTGCTTTTCTAAGCAGAAACAATTTCCATTTTTTTCTACCCACACCAACCCTTCTCTATTAACCCTCAATGGCTATAAGAAGAATAAGCGGTATATTTTACAGGGTGACTCTGATATTCTTTTCATGACCTGGATTCAGGTCACATTTTCTGAACAGGAAAGAACACCACAGAGAGGCTATGATGTCCTTTTCTGTGCACACATTTGAGGGTTCAGGGTGCCGGCTCACCCACTACTGGTGAACTTGAGCTTTATCATCTGATTGAGATGGGATCTGTCAGATTTCTACATCATAAGGCTATCACCCAGCCCTACAACTTTGTTTCTATGATCAGAGCTATTCTGTTGTCAACAACCCATTTCTTACACTCCTTTGTAAGCTATGTCACTAATCCCTTCCACTGAGATGCTTGTCATATGGAGATACTACATGCCTATCACTGCCTCTATGTTTACTGGCTGACATTTAGTGTAGGAAAGCTTTATTACTACTCATGGGTCCTATTTTATTCAACGAGTAATAATCCATCAATTATCTATCCCTTTTGTATGTGTGTATGTGTGTGTGTGTGTATGGTGTATGTGCGGTTGTGGGTGTGCAGTTGGGGGTTGATAGCAGGTCTTCACTTGCTCTCCATCTTAGTTGTTGCGACAAGGACCTTTGCTGAAGGTAGAGTTCTCTAGTAATGTCTGGCTGGCCTTGAGTCCCAGAGATCACCTGGCTCTCTTTCCCAGCATTAGGATTACAGGTGCGAGCTGCTATGTCTGAATCTTATGTGGATGTTGGATCTGAGTTCAGCTTTGGAGTATGTTTTACTTCATGGCTAAGACTCTCTGAGTGCAAACATGTTCTTTATTTTGGCCTAGCTCTTGAAGCAGCCCCTTTTTCAAAGGATCTTGACTCTTTTGATAGCACAGCATTTATGCATCATGATCTGGGCAGCTGGTCTTGCTTCTTTGGGTGCAATGCCTTTAGACACTTGTGGTAAGCAATAAGCTTGAAAAAAATCTATATAGATATGTGAACAATAAATGCATACTCTGTGCATACGCACAACAAATTCACAGCTTATTATTCATTCAATACTATAGTTCAAACCTGGCACGCTAGGATTATTTTTCGCCTCCTATGTAGACTTGTCAGTATTTTATCCAACAGTAGGAAGTATAGCTTTTATTATCTTCAATGTATTTTCTTATGTAACTAATCAATGTATTTGCCCAATATAACTCATCTTCCAACCACACTTCAGCATTACAGTGTGGCTCTGGAATAGCCCCAGGGCATCCTTGTATAGATGGAAGATACTAACAGCAACATCAAGAAAAACTATGTAATAGCAAAAAATGTTTATGAGACTAAACAACACACTTTTGAATGAACAGTGAATCATTAAATAGATTTGTGAGAAAATTAAAAATTCTTATAATCAAATGACAATACAATATATCATTCTTTCATACACAGCGAAGGCAGTCCTAGGAGAAAAGTTTATAGATGTAGAGGCTCATATTAGAAAACTAGAGACATTTCAAATAAACAATCTAATGATGTACTCAAAATTCTAGGAAAATAAGAAATCAATCTCAAACCCAGCAGATGGCAAGAAACAATCAAAAAAATAAGACAAAAATTAATGAAATAAAAACTAAAAGAACACACAAAATCAAAGAGTCAGTTCTTTGAAAAAGTTAATAATACTGACAAACCCTTAGCTAAAGTGACAAAAAGAAAGAGGACAAAGATCCGCATTAAGGTTATTTATAACAAACCTACAACCAATATTATACCACAGTGAAAAATTACTGATATATATTCCGCTGAAAACAGGGATGAGACAAAGATGCCCCCTTTTACTCTCTTATTCAATACAGTGTTCCATGTGTTAGCTATGGGATTAGAAAAGAAAAAGAAAGACACACAAGGAACAAAAATAAGAAAGGAATATGTTAATCTAGTCCTATCTATACATGAAAGACCCTACAGAACCAACTAGAAAGCTTTCAGCTCCAAGAAACATTTTAAATAAAGTTTTAGGACACAAAATGAATTAGTCTTCACATGTATGAACAATGAACTCTCAGAAAAGAAATTAAAAATATTTTACTCACAATCGCTCCCAAAAAGTAGCTAATATAAACCTAAGCAAGGATGTAAAAGACCTCTACACTGAAAACTTCAAAGTATTAAAAAAAAAAAACAGAAAGGAATATACTAGATAATGCAAAGAATCGTGTTCCTGATCAGCAAATTTTAGAAATTAATATCATGAAAGTAGCTCGTAGTCAACAGATTGAATCTAATTACCATCAGGATTCTGATATCATTATTCATAGAATTATAGTAAAACAATCCAAGAATTCATATAGAACCACAATAGACAAAATATCTGGTTAGTTTTATGTCAACTCAACATGTCATTTGGGAAGAGGAAACAGAAAATGCAACCCCCCATCAAGACTGGCCAACAAACAAGCCTATGGGGATAATTTCTTGATTGATGTATGATATGGATGGGTCCAGCTCACTGTGGACAGTTCCACCCCCTACGCTAGATGCTATCTAGATGGTGCCCCTAGGTGGTGTTCTAAGAAAGCAGGCGGAACAATCATAAGGAGACCAAGCCGGGCAGTAGCACTCCTTCTGGCTTCTGCTTTGGTTTCTGCCTCCAGGTTCCAGGCTTATACTCCTGCTCTGACATCTCTAGAGGATGGACTATATGCAGTGAGGTAAAATAAACCCTTTCCAAGGATCAAAAACACTGTGAGTGTGGAGCCTATAAGTCAGACTCTGAACTTTTTATATTGTTGTATTTTGGTTTTGTCTGACTGACTTTGCCATGGTTCTTCCCTCTTTGATTAAGAAAGCATGTAAGAGAAACAAGCAGGTGTGGCCATACTAATTTCTAACAAAGTTGACTTCAAACTTAAATCAATCAGAAGAGACGGAGAGGGACATTTTATACTCATAACAGGAACAATTCATCAGGATGAAGTCTCAATCCTGAATATCTATGCCCCTAATATAAAAGCACCCACGTACGTAAAAGAAACATTACTAAACCTCAAGGCTGCCATCAAACCGCACACACTAATAGTAGGAGACTTCAACACCCCTCTCTCACCAATGGACAGGTCAATCAGACAGAAACCTAACAGAGAACTAAGAGAATTAATGGAGGTAATGAATCAATTGGACTT